CGTCAAGGGAGGCAACACAACAGGCAACCTTTTTCTCTCCTAAAGATGTCATGACATGCCATGCCACCACATTATGCTGCCATCTCGTCACCACGCTCACATCCTAATGCCATCACAGCATCGTCCCATCAGAACATCACACCATCACATCATATCACCACACCAACTCACATCACCACGCCGCCTCACATCACCACACCAACCAACTCACATCACCACGCGGACTCACATCCTCACGCCCACTCACATCACCACGCCCACTCACACCCTCACACGCGGACTCACATCAAGGGCATCTCCCAGGCCAGGCACAGCAGTCATGTCACCGCCCGCCACCTTGAGCTTGAACTTCACGTCGGGCTGTGGCATGGGTGGGATGAGACGACGAGGGAGCGCGGGGAAAAGAGGGGATCTATTTTATTAATTATAATAGACTAAAAAGCATGGGATGGTGGGAATGGACGAGGGGCGACATTTGAGAATTCTCAAAAGTGGCTCAGATTTAGCGGGCGCGGCGCAGTGTACCTTCTTTGTGAAGGCAAAGACAATGGCGCCGAAGCATGGGATGGTGGGGATGAGGGGCGTGAGGGCCACGCGGAACACTCCCCATATCTGAAGGTTCTTCACCTGGTGTGGTGGTGGGCAAGGGGGTGTGGGGAATGGGACGGAGAGGAGAGGAAATATGTGCGCTGTCTCGAAACAGGAAAGGAAAACACAGACAGGTCGTTGGTGATGAGAGGGGTGAGGGCCACTCGGGCCCACTTGGATAGATAAAGCCCCAGTTTCGGGGTGCCTCACATCTGTCCCTCCCTGCTTGCTGGCCAGCTCTTGTCAGTCCACCCACTCACGCACCTGCACTTGCAGCGCCACCCCCACAACCGTCTTGATGGCGAGGATGATAGAGGGGTCGCCCACCCAGTTGAAGTCCACATGCAGCACCACCTCGTCCGCCCTCGTCTCCACCACGTCAATGCCTGCAGCACAGGAGGGAGAGAACACGAAGGGAGGAGGGCACGAATGAAGCGTGCAAGTCAAGAAAATGAAATGCACTACACTCCACTCCAAGGTGCACATGCAGCACCACCTCGTCCGCCCTCGTCTCCACCACGTCTATGCCTGCCGCACATGGCGGGGGGGGTATGGACGACGCATGAAAGAAATGAGAGCGCACTCAGACGTGCACATGCAGCACCACCTCGCCCGCCCTCGTCTCCACCACGTCTATGCCTGCAGCACAGGATGGGGCGGGAGGAGCACGTGGAGATGGGTCACGAGGGAATGCAAAGCACTCAGACGTGCGCATGCAGCACCACCTCGCCCGCCCTCGTCTCCACCACGTCAATGCCTGGGAGGGGATGGGAGGGAAGGGTAGGAATGAATGAAGCATGGAAGTCAAGACAAGGGAATGCACTACACTCCAAGCCAAGGTGCACACTGCACGTGCATCACCGTCTCGTCTGTCCTGGTCTCCACTGCATACCCCGCGCCCGAAGCACGGGAAGGGGAGGTAGGTACGCACGGAAACATGAGTGCTGTTGCCACCAAAGGAAACATGCGACCTTCGACAATCTACCTTACCCACGGGCTGGTGCACGCACCTCCCAGCTGCGGTGCCAGGCGGCCGAGGTTGAACTTGGTGAGCTTGAGCGAGGATATCATGGGGGGGCGGTAGCAGACAGACAGGCAACTCCTGACAAACCAAACCACCATACCCACGGGCTGCTGCTGCACTGAACGCACCTCCCAGCTGCGGCGCCAGGCGGCCGAGGTTGAACTTGGTGAGCTTGAGCGAGGAGATCATGGGAGGACGGTAGCTCTCCAGCACCGGCCCTATCTGCATCATCACCGCGCCTGATATGGCCTGCAGGGCCGCTTAGTGCAGACGACGGTGGGGGTGGTGGAAGGGGACGGGAAAATTGTACTCAGGGAGGAAGAAGAGGGTTGATCGGCTAGAAGCGACAGTGGCAGGGGTAAGTCGAACAGGCCTTGAGGCGGGGTGGCTAGTGTAAGCGCAGCGGAGTAAGCAAGAGGACGGCCTTCCAGCGAGAACTTTAACGAAGAACGACCATTGTGCCGAAGAGACGCTCACTGCGCCAAAGAGACGCTCATGCGACTCACCTCTCTGAGCTTGGGCCAGAGTTCACGGAGGAAGTAGTTGATCCACTCCACCTGCACGTAGGGAAGGAGAAAAGCGCTCGAAATCTATTTAAAGTATGGCCTTTTCTTGTCGACAGAGTTAATGGAAACGGCGGGTTAGTGCTGGAGATGTGACCACGTAAGCCTTGGACGACTTGAAAAATATAATCCCTTCCTAGGTCATACCCGCTCGAACTCAGGGAACTGCACCCAGGAGGGGTATAGCTCTTTGGGTATGAGCTTTCTCAGGTCCTCCTTGTTGACGCACGACATCATCGCGAGATCCACCATCTGCTCAATAACGCGTACGGGTTTTGACAGAACGATCAGCACGAGCTAGACGGGAAGGGTGAACGAGGCGCGCAAACGACGAGGAAAACTAGGGAATGAGAAGCGATTGAAGAGGAAGTGCACCTTGCGAACGCGCTGCGCATGTCGCCTCTTCTGAATGTATTTGATCCCCGCCAAAACGACGATTCCAGTGACGAAGCCGAAGAATATGCTGGGATAGAACCCCATGGCTCGTCGTGGCTGACCCTGATCAGCTCGCGCGGTGAGAAGTGGACACGCGGTATGGTGGAATGTTCCTTGTCTAGTCACCAAAACAGCGGTCCGGGGCTGTGGCTGTCCCGCGCGTATACACTCTGGCGAGGCGCTTTTTATGTTTGAAGAATCGACAGGAGCAGTCTGATAATCGGAGAGCTGATGTGGTGACTGACAGGCTTTATAAATCACTTGCCAGCTTCAACGATCATGTCGCTACACCGGTGACGTCATCGTCAAAAGTATACCGAGTTGGAAACATAAGTCGGTAAATCAGCCGGGCAGGGAACGGGGTAGTAAACAGACTAATACTCTCTGTATGCTGCAGCCAGCTTCTTCACGGCTAATTAATCCAGCTAACCTAGAGAGTACCGCGATCGAGCGAAGCTAACATAGTAACGCCAACCACCTAGGTCAGCTATGAATAAGGTCTAGGGCAATCGTGGCGTCCTCCTTCCTCCTTGCATCAAGACTGCACGCAGTCGCTGCTAAAACCAGCACAGATCAGGCAGAAGCTCAATGGTCTCGTGAAGGGACACCAATGAGCATTGCAAGGTGATTGAAACTCCCAAGATTGCCTTGAGAACAGGGACCGAGCCTCCAGTTTTGGCAACTGAGCGCTCGTGGCAGAAGCGCAGCGGGAACTACTCCAGGTGTTGATAATTGAAAATGTACACCAAATTGAATCCGATTCTGTTACAATATGCAGAACACACGACCTGATTACCTCCATGTAAAGTGTACTAGACGATTTCGCCTCCTCAAGTAGAGTGTTCGCACTGCACCTTGAACCTGTCGCAGCTCGTTCGCGAATTTCAGGAGCACATACCGCAACGCCCTTGGGTTGGGTGGGTCGCGGGGGCTTCGCCAGATTGAATGTGTAAAGGCTTAAAGCCTTTAAATTCGTTAATAGAACACCGAGCCTAGCCAGTACGCCTTGTCTACCGAACGCTCTGATTTGCCACTCTGACTGTGGTATGACTGGCCGCGACGAAACCGGGGGAGAAACTTCTTCTCCTGGCAAAAACCAGTTGCACTACACTACAGGGTCCCCCCCTGTAATGGGCGATCGCCAGTACGAGTGACCCAGAGGAGAGTGAACTTTGATGTCGGGCCGTTTTGGGGTGGAAACAAAATACTACACACCCCACAACCGCCAACGTGGAACATCGTGCGTTGATTTCCTCCCCCCCACCTGGAACTGTTTCATCCAAAAAAATCACCCATTGCAGCGGGCAACCATAAAACTTTCTTGAGGGCAACGCATGTAAAGTAATACTCCCAAGGGGTGAAATTACTTCGTGGGTCTCACGCAATTTTCCGAAATCAGCAGCGAAGGTGCCTTTCAGTGATTGTGGAGGCCCGAGGCTAGGAAGTTCAGTGAGAGGTTCGCCAGTGCGAGTGGGCTCACTCGCACTGGGTGTCTACCGAACAAAGCCCTCAAGCCCCGCTGGAGGCCAGGAGCGCCGTTGCGCCAAGAGCATTTTCCCCGATTCCTGGCTCCCTTCCTCTCTGCCATGCCTCCTCTCCATCTCTGGAGGGAATGACGGACTGCCCTGGTTTCGGGTTTCCGATTCCTTTCGGTAGTGGTTTTGACACCGCCTTGCTTTGCGCTCGCGTCCGATACCTTCGGTAATTTATTTACGCTATTGACCCATCTCGAGTCCAGAGACTAATATTGTGTTTTATTTATCGGGATCATAAATTGAATTGTCGCGTCAATTACGAGAAGCTCGGGACAAAAAAAATATATTCCCCTCATGGAGGGCATGCCATTGGGTGGCATCAACCCTAAACACCATGAGGCAAGGTGTCTAGGGTTGATGCCTCCCAAATGGCCAGCCATCCGAGAGGGGTTTATTTTTTCCACTGGCCACTAAACTAAAACCAGGTAAACTTCAGAATTTTCCTGGTCACAGGAAATTGGAAATGTCGAAATCAGCTGCCCCAAGGAATCGGACACGAGCGGAGAAGCAAGGCGGTGTCAAAGCCGCTGCCCAAAGGAATCGTAAACTTGAAAACAGGGCGATCCGTCATTTCCTCCCATCTCTGCCACCCTTAGCGGAATCGCGGAACCAAGATTTGCAATGTCTAATCTTAGCTAGCCGCATTGACTGGCTCGCCTGCCATTCGGTTCTGTTAGCAGCGTCGAGGAGTGTCATCGAGGAGCGGAATAATCCCGCTCAGAAGCGGACGGCAGCATGCGAAGACGACTCTTCGCTGGGGATCACATGATACATTTTCTAGTCAGGAACCGCAATCAACCGTGTTATTCCGCACTCAACCGAGCTTCTCGTCGTGACATTAAGCTCCCTTGAGCCATGCCGTCAATTTTCAGCCTGAGCAGCCTTCCCTCCCCGACCGCCGTGCTCTTCCTTATCGTCGGCTTCCAGCTCGGATGGATCTCCACGTCAGTTATCCTGCCAGCGTGGCAGCAACAGCACCAGCAGCAGGGACCGTGCTTCTCACCTGACGACCCCGGATGTGCCAGAGGAAATGCTCTCGCGTTCCTATCCTTCTTCTCCTCCTCCTCGGGCAGTTTGAGTCCCTCTGGCGCGAGAAGCGGCGATCTTGGTTCTGTTAACGGAGAGCCTTGTAACGCGTCGCTGGTGCTGCTGAAGCAGCAGCAGGACGCTATTCTGCAGTCCCTGCAGGAGCAGGAGGTGGGGATTCAGAGGCTACAGCAGCTAGTGGCTGCGCGAAATGGCACCGTTGTGAGCGAAATCGGTGCGTGTTACCGCATTCTATCTGTGAATGTCTCTCTTGTGTGTGTGTCGCTGAGCTTATGTTCAACCAGGCCATCTGTAACACATTGTCGTGCCTCACCTGAGACTCCCTCTCTTGGTTCATCCATCACCCATTGTCCCCTTCAGCGGAACCGGCCTGCGCCAATGACACGATGCCACGTGTCGGCACAATCCACTGGAACCCGAAGCCCCAGAGGTATGACGACTCGCCACTGGGGTGTGTTGGCTCACAACGCACCGCTTCTCGTTCCTCCTTCCCGCTTGCCCTCCTCTATCCTGCCCTTCATACCTCCTGACTGTCGCCCACCCGCCTCCTCTCTTCCCCTTCTCTTCCCCCTCTCCCCCTCCTCTCCCTCCCCCCTTTTTCTCTTCCCCCTCTTCCCCTCTTCTCTTCCCCTCTCCCCATTTCTCCCCATCTCTTTCCTCTCCCCCCCACGCCTCCCCATCCCCCCCAGGTACCTGATAGCGCTGTGTTCAGGCGGGCAGCTGAGCAACCGCCTGGCGTGTCTGCGGCAGAGCATGCTGAACGCGGCTCTCATGAACCGCACACTCGTCATCCCCACTCAGGGCATCGACTATGACTACGAGGCGCTGCTAGGTGCGTGCCTATGTAACTGTGTATCGGTGTGGCTAGTAGCAAGTTCTGGGATGTGCAGCTCTTATGAACCGCACACTCGTCATCCCCACTCAGGGCATCGACTATGACTACGAGGCTCTGCTAGGTGCGTGCACGCAGTGCGCTTGCGTGCCTGTGCGGCTTTGTGTCTGTGTGGATTGGACCTTGTTGCTTGTTATGGGGTGCATTTGATGCGGCGCTCTGAACCACAGGCTCGTCATTCCCACAGTGGGTGCCCCATCAGACCCTGGAGCACTCAGCAAGCGTATGGATCACAACCCGGGCGCATCATCTCTTTCTCTACCTACAACTCCTCACTGCACGGCCATGTGCACGCGCGCATGTGGTGCTGCTGCATCTGTCACATTCTTACACTTGTCAGAAAGACGACACATCTCCGTGTCTCCCTCCCATGCCCCATCAGACCTGGGGGCATTCGACGAGTGCATGGGTCCTGGGCGCGTCATCACCTTCTCAGCCTACAATGTGTCAGTCCGCGGGCGAGTGGGCGTGGGGCGCTACATCTGCCACGTGCGTGCACGTGTACCAGACCGACCAGGCGTGTGTGCGCATGGGCCGCTGCTAGATGCCATGTTCTAGCACGTGAAAAGTTAGCACGTCCTCCTTCATCCCCATGCCCCGTCAGACCTGGGGGCATTCGACGAGTGCATGGGTCGTGGGCGAGTCATCACCTTCTCAGCCTACAACGCGTCAGTCCGAGGCCGCGTGCGAGTAGGGCGCTACATCTGCCACGTGCACGTGTACCAAACCGACCAGGCATGCGACTCTCTCCGCCTCTCTTACGAGGCCCGCCTGCACGCGTCCTTTGCCAAGCACGAGATCGCCCGCAAGCGCACACCCAGCCCCTGGTTCAAGTACCCCACTGCGGAGTTTCTCAGAAAGTTCCATGGGGATCACCACGTGATTGCGTTTGCGAATATGTTTGGTGTCGGTGGGAGGGAGCTGAGGTTTCATGGGAGAGCACCGCTGGTGGTGCGCCCGGAGTGCCGCGGGCTGCTGCAGCCCAGCCGGGCGATTCAGGAGGCGGCTGTGGGGTTTATCAATACGTTCCTGGGTTCGCGCTTCATTGCCATTCATCTGCGCAGGTACACTGCCGCCCCCTCAGTGTGCGGTATGCATGAGTGGTAGTGTGAGTGAGTGAGTGAGTGAGTGAGTGAGTGCAGGCGGGCGGGCGGGCGGGCGGGTGAGTGCGTGTGTAAGGGGAGAAGCATGTGTGTTTGGGTACCCTCAACCCCCTTCCCTCATTCTCCCCTCCCCTCCCGTCCCCTCTTCCGCCCTCCCCTCCCCTCCCCTCCCCTCCCCTACCCTCCCCTCCCCAGGGGCGATTTCTTCCACCACTGCATACATGGGGACGGCAGTCACAGGGCGGTGCCGTGCTTCCACCCCATCCACCAGCTCGCACGCTGCCTGCACTCACGCCTGCAGGCTCTGCCCGGCGCTGCCATGGTGTTTGTGGCCAGCAATGCCGGGGAGGAGGAGATGCGCGCCCTGTCAGAGACGCTGGCCATGCTCGTGAGTGGGGAGGGGCGGGTGGGTGGATCTGGTAGGGGATCAAGGGGCGAGGTGGGAGAGAGCAAGGGCTTTTGAGACGTCTCAAGGGGCGAGGTGGGAGAGAGCAAGGGCTTTTGAGACGTCTCAAGGGGCGAGATGGGAGAGAGCAAGGGCTTTTGAGACGTCTCAAGGGGCGAGGTGGGAGAGAGCAAGGGCTTTTGAGACGTCTCACGGGGCGAGGTGTGAGAGAGCAAGGGCTTTTGAGACGTCTCAAGGGGCGAGGTGGGAGAGAGCAAGGGCTTTTGAGACGTCTCAAGGGACGAGGTGGGAGAAAGCAAGGGCTTTTGAGACGTCTCAAGGGGCGAGGTGGGAGAGAGCAAGGGCTTTTGAGACGTCTCAAGGGGCGAGGTGGGAGAGAGCAAGGGCTTTTGAGACGTCTCAAGGGGCGAGATGGGAGAGAGCAAGGGCTTTTGAGACGTCTCAAGGGGCGAGGTGGGAGAGAGCAAGGGCTTTTGAGACGTCTCACGGGGCGAGGTGTGAGAGAGCAAGGGCTTTTGAGACGTCTCAAGGGGCGAGGTGGGAGAGAGCAAGGGCTTTTGAGACGTCTCAAGGGACGAGGTGGGAGAAAGCAAGGGCTTTTGAGACGTCTCAAGGGGCGAGGAGGGAGAGAGCAAGGGCTTTTGAGACGTCTCAAGGGGCGAGGTGGGAGAGAGCAAGGGCTTTTGAGACGTCTCAAGGGGCGAGGTGGGAGAGAGCAAGGGCTTTTGAGACGTCTCAAGGGGCGAGGTGGGAGAGAGCAAGGGCTTTTGAGACGTCTCAAGGGGCGAGGTGGGAGAGAGGAGCAAGGGCTTTTGAGACGTCTCAAGGGGCGAGGTGGGAGAGAGCAAGGGCTTTTGAGACGTCTCAAGGGGCGAGGTGGGAGAGAGCAGCAAGGGCTTTTGAGACGTCTCAAGGGGCGAGGTGGGAGAGAGCAGCAAGGGCTTCTCTTCACCTGCAGGCGCTGCCCGACAATGCCATGGTGTTTGTGGCCAGCAATGCCATGGTGTTTGTGGCCAGCAATGCCATGGTGTTTGTGGCCAGCAATGCCATGGTGTTTGTGGCCAGCAATGCCATGGTGTTTGTGGCCAGCAATGCTGAGCAGGAGATGCGCGCCCTGTCAGAGACGCTGGCCACGCTCGTGAGTGGTGGGCTGGGGAGGGGTGGGGAGAGGGGGGGAAGAGAGATGGGGGGAAGGGGAAGGAAGTGGATTGGCCAGGAGATTAGAAGGATAGGGTGAGAGAGCGGGGGCTTTTTTTCGTCACATCGGTGTTTGTGGTTCGCAATTCTCAGCGGAGCAGATGCACGTGCTGTCAGAGATTTTCGCAATTCTTGTAAGTAAATCAGAGTAGGAAGCATGGGCAAAGCGTTATCAGTGATACTTATACTTCATCCTATCGCAATGGCCTCCTTGTGCCCCTGCTGTGTCTGGACACTCCCTTTTCACTGCTCCTGCTTGCCCCCAGGGTTCCCCGCATTCGTTTGTATCATTGCCACCGAGCCTCAAGGGCCAGGCTTGGGCCGAGCCTCTTCTCAGCCTAGGTCTGGAGAGCAACAGGGAGGTGGTGTCGTTTCTGGATAAGACCATCTGTGCACTCGCTCTCAAGTTCTACGGCACGTCAGGCTCCACATATTCGCATGACATCATGCGGTAAGACACATTGCACATTGGAGCCCTGATTTATGTGATGTGATGTGATGATACCGTATGTGCGTTCATATGTGTCAAGGCATCTTTCTCAGCTGCAGGGATGTGCATGTTGTTGATATGTTGAGATTCATTCTAATCAGCTCGCCATTTCCTTTGGCAGGTTACGAGAATGGTGGCGAGATGACCACTGTGAAATGTACATTTGCCCAGAGACTCTGCCATCCGAGATATCTCGCATACACCCCAACCTCGCTAAGAGATTGCAGCCTCCACCTCAGGAGGCCGCAAACAATGCGAATCTGACTGTAAACGGGACAAGGGATAGGAATACCACATCCGTATTGTAAGCCTGGGTGTTGCAGAAAGCATAAATGGTAAAATGACCTCTTCACCCATCAATGTCTGCCTACTTGAATATCTCTGTTGTTCCTTTTTTAATGAGGGCGGCTAGTTGAAGCGGTATTCCACTTCACAACTGTATCGCGTGCATTGTTGGTTCTAACCTTGTATCGCGTCTATTCAATGACCTCGAGAACGTACAGTATCTAAGGGCCGCAAACTGTACGTATCTCCAACACCGGCAACACCCCCGTCGTGCTCTGTTGTCCGCTCTGAGAAGTTATTCAACCAAGAATCGAGGAACCTTGTCTAGACCCACAAGCAAACAACACACTTGTAAGTTCGCCTTAGCAATGCTCACCAACGCTTGGATTCTAAATCGGTTATTCGTCACCAGGCGCATGAACCTCTTACGCTTTGCATTGCTCTGCGCGTTGATCGGACGGTCCTCGGCGTGTGTCTAGTCCATCTAGCCGCTTCTGCGACTGTCTGAGCGAGTCCAAAGTGACCTTAGATAGAGTGCCTCGAAGGTCGTACGCGTGTCCCGACTCTAAGGTTCTTGTAGTAGGAGCCATTGCCGGAAATCACGTCTGTCGTTACGTTTATTAGCGATTGCATTCACATTTACCCTGAAACATCTCGCAATCTCGATATTCCCATGTCTCACACCATCCTCACTCCTCCGTACCGCAAATGACCGTTACGCTGCTGACTGCAAATGGTGGCGTCAGAATCCGGCGAGTACGAGTACGAGCCGTGGGCAGAGGAGCGCCGCGAACGAATCCGACGGCGAGAGGCCATCCTCAATGCCGTTCCGATCACCCCCTCCTCCGCATCCGCCGCTAAAACATCTCCAAGCGCATTGGCCGCCGCAAGAGCCGGCGCTGGCGGTCTGACGGGCGCGAGCGGCGCAGCGGAGGAGCTGAGTTCGCCGTCGAAGACGAAGGAGGGCAAGGAGGGGAAGAGCGCGGAAAGGCGAGACACGTGGGGCGACGAGAGCGGGGTTGCGCGGTCGATCGCTCGCCCAATGACGTTCCTGCGTGGCGTGGTGCGCGCAAGGGGGGGTTGAACGTAGGGGGGTTGTGTGACTGTATGGGGTTGGTTGGAGTAAGGATTGACATTGTGGTGCCGTCAAGAAGGGGTTGTGCATGTGTGGTGGGGGGGAGGGGGAGGGAGGAATGTTGCTCGATGTGACAATATCGGGGGAATGTGGTGCCTGATGTGACAATATCGGGGGTGCTATCTGTGCACATATGGTTTGTGCGAATCTGATGCGTCCCTAAATTTTTCCATGTCTTCCCATATGTGCTCCCATGTGTGTGCTTCCCCAATGGCAGGCGCGGTTCTACTGCACCATCTTCCTCCTCTTCCTCCTCCTCTCCGCCTGCCAGGTGCGCCCCTCTCCGCCTGCCAGGTGCGCCCCTCCCCGCCTGCCAGGTGCGCCCCTCTCCGCCTGCCAGGTGCGCTCCTCGCTATTCCCATCATCCCATCATATTCCACCATGCCTTGTCGTCAACACCACCCCTTCTCCTGCCCCTTAACCATTTCCCCTGAAATCCTCCCTTCCCCGCCGCCTTACTTCACCCAACCCCCTCCCACAAACCCTCCTTTTCTCTTCCCGCCCCCCCCCCCACCCGTTGTGTGTGCGCCCCCCAGGTGTATTTCATGTGGACGGAGGAGCTGGGGGCGCTGGAGGTGTCGTCCACAGGCCTCTCGTCGCTGCTCAACGTGGTGCGAGGGGTGGGGGGGGGGGGGGGGGGGGGGTGGAGGGAAGGGGTGCGTGCGGGCAAGGGAAGAAGGGAGGGGTGAAAAAGGGGCATGGGGGAGGGGGAGACGGGGGAAGGGGAGCGGGGTGTAACGAGAGGGGGTGGTGCAAGGCGAGAGGGGGTTGCAAGAGCAGGGGCAGAATGCAAGGCGAGTGGGGGTTGCAAGAGCAGGGGCAGAATGCAAGGCGAGAGGGGGTTGCAAGAGCAGGGGCAGAATGCAAGGCGAGAGGGGGTTGCAAGAGCAGGGGCAGAATGCAAGGTGTAATGGAGTGGAATGGAGTGGAATGGAGTGGACAGTGATTGGAATGGAGTGGACAGTGATTGCTTTGCTTCTCCATCCCTCACTCTCACCCTCACTCCCTTCCCCTCTTTCCCCTTGTGTGTGTGCCTAGAGCAAGCCAGCGAAGATCACGCGGCGAGTCGTGCTCTCCACCATGGCGAGAGACATCATGGACTTGCAAGGTGGGCTTTAAGCTGCCGCGAGCCTGCCTTGCACATGAGCTAGCCGTGTACACATGATGGCCATGGCCTGCCGTCCCGCTCTGCCATCAGCCTGTCCTATTGCGCCCCCATCCACACATCAAACTGCCTTCACTCCTCCCTTCCACTCCTCCTCTGCCTTCTCTTCTCCCACAATTAAATCCTGCTCTCCTGTCTTCTCCTGCGCTCCTGCTCTAAAGCCCTCCTCTCTCCTTTTTCTTCCCAGCCTCCTTCACGGCCAGCATGGCACAGCTGCAGCAGCAGCAGGCAGCCCTGGCCAATCAGACAGCCGGTCCCTTCTCAGTCGACTGACAAGTCGCCTCTCCTCTCCTGCTCTCACCTCCTGCCCTCCGCTCTCCTCCCTCGCCCATCAGCCTCCCTCACGGCCAGCATGGCACAGCTGCGACAGCAGCAGGCAGCCCTGGCCAACCAGACAGCCCAGTCGCTGCAGGCCTTGGAAGCTCGGGTGACAGGTGGCAGCAGGCGACTGGTGGACTTCACACGGGCCATGGGGGAGAAGCAGGCGGGGGAGGTGCAGAGCGTGCGCGCGCGCGTGGAGGAGATGGGGCGCGCGCTGGCCAAGCAGGGCGAGATGCTGGCAGAGCAGATGGCTGCTGTCACTGCCCTCAAGGTGGGTGCGGTGGGGTAAGGTGAGGCGGGGTGGGGTGGGGTGGAGTGGATATGGCATGGCGCTCTGCTGCCCTCAGTTGGAGGAGATGGGGCGAGCGCAGGCCAAGCAAGCAGGGGGAGATGCTGGCGGAACAAATGGCTGCTGCCGCGCTCAAGGTGGGTGGGTGGGTGGGCTCAATAGGTGGATGGTTGGGCCTCAAGATGAGTGAGTGTGCCGCTGGGTTGGATTGGCACAGTACGGGGCTGCAGGGCAGGCTGTACTCATCAATGATCAATCCAACCACACGCTCTACTCTACTACACCATGGACGACCATTCCTGACCTCAGCCATTCCGCCCTCTGTTCCCCACTCCCTCCCTCCCACTGCAACCCCTCCCACTGTACCCCCTCCCACTGTACCCCCTCCCACTGCACCCAGGCGGACTTGGAGATGCGCAAGGCGGCAGCCACCCCGCCCACCAACTATTCCCTGTACTACATCACGGACGGCCACCCTGACCTCTGCTGTTCCTCCCTTCCTTTCGCTGCATCCCTCCCATTGCACCCCCTGTTATCATACTGGAACCCCTGTTACCGTACTGTATCCCATTCCCCTACAGGCGGATCTGGAGATGCGCAAGGCAGCGGCCACCCCTCCCACCAACTACTCACTCTACTACATCACGGACGACCACCCTGACCTCTGTCTTTCCGTCCCTCCCTCCCACGGCATCCACTCCTACTGCACCCTCTGTTACCACACTGTATCCAGGCGGATCTGGAGATGCGCAAGGCGGCAGCCACCCCCCCCACCAACTACTCGCTATACTACATCACAGACGACCACCCTGACCTCTGGCGCCAACGCTCCTTCCGCCGCTACGCCTCCTACGGCTTCGTCAAGTACAGGTAATTCCCCAGGTGATGCGTCAGGTGAATGGTTCGGGTTCATTGCCGCTCACCCACTGCCCATGCAAGACCACCCATGGTAGGTACTGTGTGCGTCTGTTCTTCATGCTGCTCCCACTGCCCTTGCCTCCCAGCACAGCACCTACCATGTGTCCTGATAGGGCTGAGAGACCCATGATCCACATCACCACCATGGGCCGCACAGCCCCACATCACCACCATGGGACTCTCAGCCCTATCATTGCATACGACTCACCCGCCCGCCACCGAAATCGCTGCACACAACAACCACCCAACGTACACTTTCCTTGTGCGCCCCTCCCTTTCTCCCTCCCAGCGCCTACCGTGTGTCCCCATCGCGCATCGCCATCCTGGGCCTATCAGCCCTGGGCGCTGTACGGGGCGCACCGGCTGGTGTAATCACTGCCTCACAACAGCCCATTACAGCCCATTACAGCCCATTACAGCCCATTACAGCCCATTACAGCCCATTACAGCCCATTACAGCCCATTACAGCCCATTACAGCCCATTACAGCCCATTACAGCCCATTACAGCCCATTACAGCCCATTACAGCCCATTACAGCCCATTACAGCCCATTACAGCCCATTACAGCCCATTACAGCCCATTACAGCCCATAAACCCTCTGTTCCCCTCCCTCTCCCCTCCCTCCCTGCCTCCCTCTCTCCCTCCCAGCGCCTACCGCGTGTCCCCATCACGCATCGCCATCCTGGGTCTGTCAGCGCTGGCACTGCATGAGGCGCACCTGCTGGTGTTATGACTACCACACAACAACCCAACATCCTCTTCCCTCTCTTCTGTCTGATCCCTCCCTCCCCCTCCCAGCGCCTACCGTGTGTCCCCATCACGCATAGCCATCCTGGGTCTGTCAGCGCTGGCGCTGCATGGATCCCACCGGCTGTCGCTGTGCGAGTGGCATGGCGTGGATGGGTCCGTCATCCCCGGTGCGCTCGAGATGATCTACGTGGGCGAGCACCATAACTTCCTGGTGAGACTTGTCAACAACAGCACCACCTGCTGCTCAGGTGATCTCCGTGGCATGGTATTTTGTGCGAGTGGCACGGCACGGCGTGGATGGGATGGGTCGGTCATCCTGGGTGCGCTGGAGATGATCTACGTGGGCGAGCACCATAACTTCCTCGTACGTGTTCTGCACCACCGGCAGCAGAACCTCAGACCCTACTTTTTAAGAGCCTACTCCTAAGAGCCAACTTTTTAAGAGCCTACTTATAAGAGGTTTTTTTCAAAGAGCCTACTTTAGAGCCTTCTTTTTAAGAGCCTACTCCTACTTCTCCCAATCCCCTCGTTCCATGCGCAGTATGAGACAGTGGTGGTCAACTGTCTGTTGGAATCACCTGTGCAATCACCTGGGGGCTACCTGAAGGCGCGCATCAACTCAGAGATCCTCTACCCCTTCCGGGAATCCAAGTCTGAGGTACATATGGGGGCATGTGGGGGGGGGGGGTGCGGGCATGAGAGGTTGCGGGCAGGAGGGAGGAACAGCCTTGTGGAACTGGTTTCTGGAACGCGCTGTCATTTTGTGGGCTGTCTTGAGCTCTCTCCTCTCTCATGGCCGTCCTTCCCCCATCCATCTCCTCCCCAACTTCTCCCAGCCCATCACGCCCTCCACAGCCCCCTTCAAGCACCACTTGCTCTTCTGTGGGCCGCCCATGTACGGCACCATGGAGCCACGGGTCCTGCTAGAGTGGCTGGACTACCACCGCGTGTACGCCGCTGCCGACCACTTCATTCTCTACGATGCCGGGGCCGTGGGCGTGGCAGTGCGGCGTGCGCTGCAGGGGTACCTGGCGGGGGGCGTGGTGGAGATCACAGATTTTCGCGAGTCGCAGCAGTGGGACACGTGGCTGTATGGGCAGGTGAGCTTTCTGATTGCATCACACGTGCACGTGCAGCTCTGCTCATCCAGAGAGCCCTCGTCGTCGTGGGCGTGGAGCGGCGGCTGCTGGAGCGGTAGGGTATCTGGGGGGGGGCGTTGTGGAGTCACACTCTTGCGAAGCAGTAAGGGAACTCTCCTTCCACCCTAGCTGTTCGTTTCATGTTACTCTCCACACTCTTGCCCTCTTCCCCTCCTCCCCTCTCCCTCACCCACTCCTCTCTCTCTCCCTCTACCCTCCTCTTCCCACATCCCCAACCCCCCCCTCCCTCCCCCACCACCAGTCACTAGCCATTCAGGACTGCATGTACCGATCGCGCCGCACAGCCCAGTGGGTGTTCATCTTGCTTTCCTTCCAGCCCTTCCTTTCAGCCCTTCCTTTCGCTCCCCGCTTTCGCCTCCCCTCCCCCTTCCTCTCCCCCCATCCCCCATCCCCCCCCCATACGCCACCAGTCACTAGCAATTCAGGACTGCATGTACCGATCGCGCCGAACAGCCCAGTGGGTGTTCATGCAGGACTTTGACGAGTTCCTGGAGCTGCTCCCGCCCCTCACCATGCCCTCTCTCCTAGACAAGTACCGCGACCGCCCCTGGATCACCTACGGCTGCACTGTTTTCAACATGTCCTTTTGTGTTGATACCCCCCGCGACTCCTCCACCTCGAATCTCCGCCGAACTGGGGACCTTCGTGGCGCCGCCACTGGTGGTGGCGGGCGGAGGGTGCATATGGAGGGGCTGCTTATAGAGAGGATGCATTTCCGGTGGCCGCACGTGTACTGTATGGACACACAAAAGTACCGCCCAGAGCACTGCCTAGACCAGGAGGGGCACCGGAAATACATCCTCAACCCGCGCAAAGTGCAGGCCGCTCAAATCCACATAGTGGTCAAAACAGAGGACGCCGGGGGAGGCACGGGGGCCAGCGGAGGGGAGGCTTCGGGGGAGGGTGTAGGGGAGAGTGTGGGGGAGAGTGTGGGGGAGAGTGTGGGGGAGGGAGTGGATATGGATACAGATGACATGCGGCTGGCGCATTACAGGGGTCTAGCCACTAAGGGGTCGAGGATGTGTGAGCTTGGGGAGCCCAAGGACTGGTGGATGCGGTACGACCGGGTTGGGAGGATTGCTGCGGCCGTGTGGAACTGCCCCCTCGTTGCCAGTAACCGCCAGGTGGGGGAGTCTGCAGCAAGGCTGTAAGGCAGGGGGTGTTGTGGGGGGTGAGGGTGGGGAACTGTTGGAGGATGAATGAAAGGAAGTAGGGGTGAGTGGAGTTGACGGGAATCTGGGGATTCTTGGCCAGCTTATTTTTCCTGCCCGACATGTGATTTTATCTGGTGAACTGTCACACAGACAGTACCTTTCATCCCTTCCCTATTTTTCCACTCTGCCTTTCACTGCCCCTCTTCCTCACTTTTCTCCCTTTCCGGCCTCTTTCGACCTATCGAGTCCTCTCTGCCTCTCTGCGTCTCATTTTGCCCCTCACTGTACCCATTGTCCCATGCAGGCATGCACACCGAATGGAATCGCCACAACGCTTGCAGCTACAGCCGACTCCACTCGCACGCAGTGACCTGCGAAACTTTGCTTTTAGGATTAACAAGGTGGAATGATTTCAACCCCTTTCGAGTTGCAACTTGCAAGTCTGTCAGAGAATGAAAAGGCCATAGAATGAAAAGGCTCTTGCATACCAGTACCATGAAGCAGAACACGTTCTCTCCGCAGAAAGGCACACCAGTAATGTGGTACCGTGTGTGAAGGCAAAGAACACCAAGGTACAGCAAGAGCGTCATTCCTGCCAGGCCAGGGCGGGCACTGTGTCGCTCGAGCATCTGAATTGCACAACCCTTCAGATTGCATTAGAGTTTGGCATGTGCATGCGAATAAGTTATGAAACAGAACAACAATATACGCACTTTTCTACCATAATTACCATACCATCTCATTATTGTGCGTGCACATCTGATCCAAACAAGTCTGTCTACACAACCTCTTACATACAGTACAGTGGCTTATAGGAAGACCCATAACAAAGAAACCAATCCTTTTCCTCCCTTTTTATCCTCAGCATCCTTGAACAATTCTCAGGGCCTATAACCCCCCACCAAGGTCAGTGTTTCTTAAGGGAGAGGAGAGGTTTCCCTCAATGCCAGACTTGACGTTCCTGCCCATCTGCCCCACCTTGTTCGCGTTACCCACCGCCACGTTTGCGGCACTGAAAAGTGTTACTTGGGCGACAGGCTCCCCTCAATCCCGGACTTGACATTCCGGCCCATCTGCCCCACTTTGCTCATAAACCCCATCGTCCCACCCCTGAAGCACCTCAAGAATCAAGCTCAGTGCTACTTGGGAGACAGGCTCCCCTCAATGCCAGACTTGACATTCCGGCCCATCTGCCCCACCTTGCTTATAAACCCCATGGCGCCACTCCTCCTCTTGGGCTTCCCATCGGGGCCCGGCGAGAGCGCAGGGGAGAGCGGAGCATCCCCTTCCGCTCCTGCTGCTGCTGCGTCCGAGTCCGTGGGCTCTACGTCACTGGACACTTGCAGAGCGCCCTCCCTGTCCCGGTGCTTCAGGTCACCCATGGACCGCGCCAAGCTGGGCGCCGCACGGGCCGCTGGTGGTGCTGCAGCAGCAGCATCAGCATCATCAGCAGCAGCAGGGGCGGTATCAGCAGCAGTAGCAGCAGCGTCAGCAGCAGGGGCGTCAGCAGCAGGGGCGCCAGGAGCAACGGAGACAGGCAGGGCATCATCTGCTGCATCAGAGCTGCTCCTCCTCTGGGACTGCTCCACCACCTTAGTAGATTTCTGCCCCACCTCAGACAAGCGCCGCGCCATGGTTGCTCTGGGGGTCATGAGGGCGCGTTCAGCCGCCTCGCGCACGCGCCTCTCGGAGTCGGCAGCAGCGGCAGCCATGGCGGCATTGGCCTGCTCGGCCGGCACACTGTGGTCCTTTATGCGCGGGCCACGTGCCTTTTCTGCCGCGGTCACGCTGTCCCTCTCCTCATCAGAGTAATCACGATACGCCAGCTGAGTGGACAGTGCGGGTGAGAGAGAGGGAAAAAGGGGGAAGGAGGAAAGGGGAACGCTTTTGAGAATTAACAAGGCCTTTTCTGCCGCGGTCACGCTGTCCCTCTCCTCATCAGAGTAATCACGATACGCCAGCTGAGTGGACAGTGCGGGTGAGAGAGAGGGAAGAAGGGGGAAGGAGGAAAGGGGAACGCTTTTGAGAATTAACAAGGCCTTTTCTGCCGCGGTCACGCTGTCCCTCTCCTCGTCTGAGTAATCACGATACGCCAGCTGCACCGGCGGTGTGAGGGGGAGAAGGACAAAAGGAGAGGCATTTGAGAATCTTCACAACCTTCTCTGCCTCCCGTCGCGCTGCCCCTCTCCTCCTCATTCGAGTACTCGCAGTATGCCAGCTCGAATTCGCCTTCCCTGCCTCCGTCACACTGTCTCTCCCTCTTCCCAGCCCACACCTCCATCCCTCACCCGCCTTCTTCCCCGCTCCCCGCTCATATCTCGCTCACCGGCAGCGTAATGCGGCCGAGCTTGTGGTCCTTGCCCAGCAGCTTGTCGTCGTGCAGGCGGGGAAGGGGTGGCAGGCAATAGGTGCAACCACACCAGCCCCTAGGAGCTCAAAGAAAAAAGGAAACGGTCCTCACTGGTCCATCCCCCCACACCACAGCCCCCACGCTCACCAGCAGAGTGATGCGGCCGAGCTTGTGGTCCTTTCCCAGCAGCTTGTCATCGTGCAGGTGGGGCAGCAGGTCGAGGGTGACCTGGTACGGCCCGCTCTTGTCCATCAGGTCCGCCAGGGGGAACAGCGCCCACCCCAGATCTGAGTCTTGCATCACATCATCGTCCTCCACCTGAGGGAAGAGAAGAGAGCAGAGAGAGAGGAAGCAGCTATGCCATCAGGTCTACCATCAGGTCTGCCATCGGGTCTACCATCGGGTCTGCCATCGGGTCCGCCAGGGGGAACAAGTGGCCACCCAGTGCGAGTACAACACCCCAGGTCCGAGTCTTGCATCAAATCATCGTATCCACCTGATGGGGGGGCGAGAGGGAAGGCGAGAAAGATAAAGAGTAAGCAGCTCACCCCGTGGCCTCTCATCAGGTCCGCCAGGGGGAACAGCGCCCACCCCAGGTCCAAATCTGCCATCACGTCATCGTCCTCCACCTGAGAGGGGAGAGCGGAGAGAGAGGAGGCAGCTATACCATCAGGTCTACCATTAAATCCGCCAGGGGAACAGCGCCTTAATGGTGAGTTCGGCAGTGTGTGGGTCATCCACGGGGGGTAGCAGAAACGTCTCGGCAGCATGCATGCACTGACCTTCACAGTGCCCTCACCTCTTTGCTGGAGGGGGGAGGGAGGGGGGGGAGGGGGGGGGGGGGGGGTTGTAGCAGCAGTGCGCACTGAACTGAACTGACTGACCTTAATGGTGAGCTCGGCAGTGTGCGGGTCATCCACGGGTAGCAGAAACGTCTTTTTCCACGAGGGGTTGAGGTTGGGGTTGAGGCACACAGTGGCATAGGGGTCTGACTTTTGAGTCGACTTAAAAGTCATCTTGGGGTTGAGTTGAGGCACACAGTAGCGTAGGGGTCCAATCCAACTTGCCCAGCGTGACAGAGCCCTCACCACCAGCACGCGCTGACTCACCTTCACAGCACAGAGCCCTCACCACCAGCACGCGCTGAATCACCTTCACAGCACAGAGCCCTCACCACCACCAGCACACACTGACTGACTCACCTTAATGGTGAGCTCGGCGGTGTGCGGGTCATCCACAGGCAACAAAAACAATTCCACGTTCTTCACCCCCTCTGCTCGCACCACCTGCGCCACCTTCACAGTGCACTGCCCTCATCTCTTCGCTGCCAGGTGCGAGCCTAGGGCAGCGTTACAGCAGAGTGCACAGACTCACCTTAATGGTGAGCTCGGCGGTGTGAGGGTCATCCACAGGCAGCAGGAACGTCTCGTTCCACGAGGGCACGTGCTTGGGTTTGAACCACACTGTAGCATAGGGGTCTGATCTGACTTGCCCAGAGTGAAAGCGCCCCCAGAAGCAGCAGGCACTGACTGGCACGCACCTTAATAGTGAGCTCGGCGGTGTGCGGGGAATCGACAGGCAGCAGAAACGTCTCGTTCCACGTGGGGATGAGGTTGTTCTTGCGCACGCCCGTCTTGGCCATGTGCTTCGGGTTGAGCCACACCACACCCAGGATGCACCTCCCTGCTGGGGCTGGGGCCCTAGCACCGGCAGCAGCATGCACTGACCTTGCCAGTGCCCTCACCTTTCGCTGGGGGGGGTGGTAGCGTAACAGCACACACTAACTCACCTTAATGGTGAGCTCGGCGGTGTGAGGGTCATCGACAGGCAGCAGGAACGTCTCGTTCCACGAGGGGTTGAGGTTGTTCTTGCATACGCCCGTCTTGGCCATGTGCTTCGGGTTGAGCCACATTGTGGTGTACGGGTCCGACTTGCCCAGTGTGTCCACGTTCTTTACTCCCTCTGCCCGCACCACCGTCACCACCAGCTCGCCCTCATACTTCATCTCCAGCAGCCTGGTGATGGAACACAGAGGAGGGGGGAGGGCAGGAAGGGGGGGACGCAAGAGTGGAGGGAACAGGGCCGAAAAAGGGTTCTTTACCCCCTCTGCTCGCACCACCTGCACCACCAGCTCGCCCTCATACTTCATCTCCAGCAGCCTGATGATGGAATATGGGAGAGAGCGTAAGGAGGGAGGCGAGAGAGGAGCAAAGGAAGAAAAGGTTTCATGTATCCACGTTCTTCACCCCCTCGGCTCGCACCAACTGCACCAGCTCGCCCTCATGCTTCATCTCCAGCAACCTGACGCCATGCAGGAGAGTGGAGGGGGAACAGGAGCGCCAAGAGATAGTGGGGGAGCGAGAGAGAAGAAGCACGAGTGATAAGCAGAGAATTCTTCAACTCCCTCTGCTCGCACCACCTGCACCACCAGCTCGACCTCATACTTACTCTCCAGCAACCTGGCGGGGGGAAGCGGGGGACGGGCATGTGAAAGTACTGGTGAGGCTAGGAGGAGGGGCTGTTGAGACAAGGGCCTTATTTTTTCCAGGGAGCCTGCTGGCAGCACGTGCTGCAGCAGCGTGCCTGGACAGGACATGCACACAGCAGCAGTGTATAAGACACTGTGGCACAAGAGAGTTACTGCAGAGGTTACAAGAGGGCGTGTGTGAGAGGGTGTGTTCGAGAGCATGTGAGAGGGTGTGTGAGAGCGTGTGCAAGGGTGTGTGAGAGTGTGTAAGAGGGTGTGTGTGAGAGGGTACGAGAGGGTGTGTGAGGGTATGAGTGGGAGGGTATGTGTGAGAAGGTTGTGTGTGGACGGGTATGAGTGAGAGGGAGTGAGGTTGATGTGACTCACTTCTCATCAAAGGCCGGGTTGAGCTTGACAACAATGCCCTCCGGCCACAATATGTTGGAAGAGACTAATGAGTCGTAATGTGATTATGAGGGAGAGGGTACCAGCCTAATGTGACTATGAGGGAGAGGGTACCAGCCTAATGTGACTATGAGGGAGAGGGTACCAGCCTAATGTGACTATGAGGGAGAGGGTACCAGCCTAATGTGACTATGAGGGAGAGGGTACCAGCCTAATGTGACTATGAGGGAGAGGGTACCAGCCTAATGTGACTATGAGGGAGAGGGTACCAGCCTAATGTCTAATATGACAATGAGGGAGAGGGTACCAGCCTAATGTGACTCACTTCTCATGCCGGGTTGAGCTTGACAACAATGCCCTCCAGCCACAATATGTTGGAGTTGGCTAATGAGTCGACTCAAAGGGAAAGGGTGTACGCCTGATGTGACTCACTTCTCATCAAAGGCCGGGTTGAGCTTGATGACGATGCGCTCAGGCCACAATATGACCGACTCCAGCACCGATGCCACCGTGCTCTGGTGCAGCACGGTGGGATGCGGTGCAGTGGGGTGGGAAAGGAGGGCAGGGAGGTGAGGGGAAGGGAGAAATGAGGTCGAGAAGATGCGAGGGGAGGGGAGGAGCGGGGGTTTGAGTGGAAGGAAACGGAGGAGAGCGAAGGGCACACAGAGATAAGAACGGACAGGGTGGTTGCGAGGGTGGGATGGGGCGGACAGATAGGGGGCAGGGATGCAAGCAAACAAACAGAGGGAGCAGTTAACCCGATCGCCTCATACCAAACGGCCCTTCACATCCCTCCCTCCCTGTCCCCCTTCCTCACATGTCCCCCCTCCACACACTCCCACTCACTCATCACGCGGCACTCTCAACCTCCCCAGCAACCCCGCTAGAAACACCCTCCCCAGCAACCCCGCTAGAAACACCCTCCCCAGCAACCCCGCTAGAAATACCCTCCCTGCCAACCACCACAACCACCTTCGCAGGCAACGAGGAAGCAGGGTGGCGGGAAGTAGGTACTCATGTCAATCTGCTTCTCCAGCCCTAGAATGGCCGCCAGCGATCCCCCCACCACCTTGAGCACAAAATCTGTTGAGGTCTGGCGGGCGGTACTCGCCTCTACAGACACCCAGCACTCAGCCACCCCCCCGTCCAGCCCCCAGCAATCCTTATCCCCCAGCGACCTGGCGGACGGTACTCACGTCGATCTGCTTCTCCAGCCCTGGAATGGCCGCCAGCGATCCCCCCACCGCCTTGAGTACAAAATCCACCGTGGGACGCGGCTGGGCAGTGGGCCAGTGGGGGCGCACGGGGAGGGGGCACGGGGAGGTGGCGGGGAAAGGGGGAGAGGGAAGGGGGAGAGAGAGGAGGGGAGTGAGAGAGGGGAGAGAAGGGAGGGGAGAGAGGGAGTGAGGTAAAAGAAAGGGGTCAGGGCAGTACGGAGAAGGAGAGGTTAAGGGAGGTAGTTAGGGAAGATTGAGGGGCATTAAGAGAGAGGGAATAAGAGGAGGAGTTGAGAGGTGAAAGAGCGAGTGGGTATGGGAAAGGAGGAAGAGAAGCGTGGGAATAGCAGGCGAATTGGAACAATGGACCAGGGATGAAAAGGGGCCGGCAGCAAATCATCAGTCTTACCTTGCAGCACTGCAAGCACTCACCCTTGCTGTCCCACACACTCATTCTCACTCCACCACGCCCTGCCCCACACAGTCCCGTTACACCGCACTGCACCGCACCCCAACACACTGCACTGCACCGCACCACACTGCACCGCACCCCAACACACTGCACTGCACCGCACCACACTGCACCGCACCGCACCGCACCGCACTGCACCGCACCTTGCGCAGCAGCGAGGCAACGACAGCGTCGATGCAGGGCATCTGCTCGCCCAGCTGAAAAATGAGGCGGAGCGTGGCCCGGAACACCAGGTTCTTCACCTGGGGGGGGGGGGGGGAGACGGATGGGGGTGGTGGAGAAAGGGGGGAGCATGGGACGTAGTGGGGAGGGACGAGACGGGGAGAGTGAAGGGGACACAGGGCGCAGATGAGGCGCAGCATGGCCCGGAACACCAGGTTCTTCACCTGGTGGGGGGAGAGGGATGGTGAAGAGGGGGCGCATGCGGTGGGGCGGAAGAGAGGGGAGGGGAAGGAAGATGAGGCGCAGCGTCGCCTGGAGCACCAGGTTCTTCACCTGGGGCGGGGAGAGGGAAAAGGGGGGGATGGGGAGAGGGGAAGAGTGGGGAAGACGGGGGGAAAAAAGGAGGAGAGGCGGGGGAGGGGAGAGTGAGTGGGAAATGGGAGGAAGATGAGGCGCAGCGTGGCTCGGAACATCAGGTTCTTCACCTGGGGGGGGTGGAGAGGAAGGGAGGAGAGGGGACGGGGGGAGAAGGGAGAAGGGAGCAGAGGGGGGAAGATATGGGGAGAGGGGAAGGAGGGGAGAGTGGGGGTGAGTTGCATATGGGGTGAGGGGAAGAGGTGAAAGTGAGGGGGAGGGAGGGAGAGCCTGAGAGGGGGAGGGGAAGACGATGAGGTGCAGATGAGGCGCAGATGAGGCGCGGATGAGGCACAGATGAGGCGCGGATGAGGCACAGATGAGGCACAGGCAGCGTGCACCATCATGTGCGGAGGAGGGATGCGTGGGAGTGAGTGGAAGGATTGAGAAGAAAGCAGCCGTCTTGATGTTGAGAACAAATCCGACTCATCCCCACTCCCTTACACCCGATTACGGCCCACTCCCACCTGCACTTGCAGCGTGACAGCAGCGGTCTTGATGTTGAGAACGATGGAGGCGTCGCTCTGCCAGTAGATGAGCAGATCCAACTCACCCCCCACTCCGTCACGCATCCCACTCCCCCACAACAACCCACCTTCCCCCCCCTCCCAACGCCCTGCGCTCTCCCACGTGCGCACCTGCACTTGCAGCGTGACAGCAGCGGTCTTGATGTTGAGAACAATGGAGGCGTCGCTCTGCCAGTAGATGAGCAGATCCAACTCACCCCCCACTCCGTCACGCATCCCACTCCCCCACAACAACCCACCTTCCCCCCCCTCCCAACGTCCTGCGCTCTCCCACGTGCGCACCTGCACTTGCAGCGTGACAGCAGCGGTCTTGATGTTGAGAACAATGGAGGCGTCGCTCTGCCAGTAGATGAGCAGATCCATTATCACCTGGTCCTTGTCCGCGCCCGTCTTGTGCAACTTGATGCCTGCAACAAGGAAGGGGAAGAGTGGGCGTTTGAGGGACGGAGGGGATGAGGGGGAGGAGGGGTTTCTGAGAATGGGGTTTCTAGCGAGCAGTACCTGAGAAAATCCATCATCACCTGGTCCTCCTCCGCGCCCGTCTTGTGTAACTTGATGCCAAGAGGGAACGGAAAAGGGAGCGCAGGGAGAGGGTGGGGTAGGGAGCGAGGGAGGGGAGGGGAGAGGAGGGAGGGAGGAAAGAACAGGGGGAAAGGGGGAAATCGTCGTGCCTTCCACGTGTGGCGCCTTCTCGCTGTCATTGCCTGGCTCGAACTTGTGGAAGGTCATTGATGACAGGACACCATGGAGGGGCGATCAGTCGACTGTGCAGTTGACTCTCAAGGCACACACGCTCACTCTCACGCGCACGCTCACGCTCACTCACCTTCAACATGTGGCGCCTTCTCGCGGTCCTTGCCCAGTTCAAACTTGTGGAAGGTCATCGATGAGACGATGGATGGGCGGTTCGCCTCCAGTATCGGCTCCATCGTCTCACGCACCACCTGACTCGTCGCCTGCCGGGATAGAGGGCGGAGGGAGGGCGGAAAAGGGGACGCGAGGGGGGCAGAGGGGGGGGGGGGGAGTGGTGGTTTGAAGGGGGCAGTGAAAAGCCATGGAGGGGCGGTTCGCCTCCAGTATCGGCTCCATGGTCTCGCCCAGCCCACCACCTGACTCGTCGCCTGACGGGGGAATCAAGGGAAGAAGGGAGAGAGGGGGAAGGTGGTTTGAAGGAGGTGTGGAAGGTGAAGGTTGAGCGGTTGGCCTCCAGTATTGGCTCCATGGTCTCGCGCACCACCCAACTCGTCGCCTCCCCACCATATCATACGGAATGAGGTGGGACGGGGAGAGTGAGGGCGAAAAGGGTTATCTAATCACTTGATGGCGAACGGGGAGAAAGCAAAGCCTCTGAGGCGCGTCAAGAGAGCACACACAAGGAGCGAGCGCAATGCAAGGAGCGAGAGGGGGGAGCATGATGGCATCGTGACAGGCTCACCTTGTTGATGTGCGGCCACAGCTCTGATAGCATCCGCGTGACCCAATCCGCCTGCACGCGGAACGACGATGACGGATAGTAGGGGCGACGAATGGACGGGCGACGAGGGACAAGAAGGAGGAACGGCACAGATAAGCAAGTGAGGGGAGGAGTCAAAGTGCGGAGAGAGAGAGGCAGCATTGTTCGTGGGAATGAAAAGAGGGAAGAGAATGAGACTAAACGAATGAGATGGCAAACATTCGTCAGCGAATTTGATGGTACCTTGTCGAATCCCATCACATCTCATTCAAGCCAATCACATGTCGTCGAATCTAATCATACCACGACGGATCCAAACCAAACGTCATCGCATTGAACCGCACATCATCGTATTCGGTGAACTTGACCCAGGTGGGGCAGAGCGGCCCGCAGATGGCTTTAAGCTCGTTCAACCCGATTCCCTGTACCGCCATCAGATCGCTCTTCTGCACCAACCACCGTGATGGGGAGAGGGAGAGAGGGGTTGCGAGAAAGAGAGAAGCTAAATATGGGAATCGGAAATTGCCGCGCGTCAACAGGATGAGCGGCGCTTGAGCTCGATGAGCCTGATTCCCTGCACCGCCATCAGATCGCTCTTCTGCGAAGGACGTCGCGCGGTGTAATCGCCAGGAGGGTGGATGCGGGACAGGCAGGGGGTAGGGGGGTGATGGCGAGAGGGAATGCGAGAAAGAGGAAATGAATAATGTGAATCGGTAAATATGAAAACGTACGCGGCGAGGAAGACAGAAAGTGACCAAGAGAAAAAGACGGGGAATAAGGAAAGCCAGGGTTGGGAGAACGACGAGGGAGTGGGAGTCAGCGCCGAGAAGCGAGTCGAGTTGCGACTCGGCGAATCGGCGAATCGGCTGACCGAAATTGAGCGGGACCACGCCAGCAAATCACGGCATAAAAAATCCGGGACATAAAGACGATGCGTCACTACCGCCGGCGTAAGTGGTGCGACGAATTTCATAACATATTCCGTACAACCAAAAAGACAACGAGCAAACCGTCAAGCCCTGCCAAAAATCACGTCCGGAACGGCGTACGAAAATAAACAAATGATGAAGAAATATACCACGGTGTTCCTCTTGGCCTGGCGGACGGCCATGAAGTAGTTCCAGGCGTACATGATGACCACGCCGATCACCAACCCCACCAGCACGCTCGACACGAACCCCATGCCTGCCGCTGCCGCTCCCGCCGCCTCGCGTCACCGCCTCGCAGCTGCACACGCGAACCGAGGGATTCGCTCCACGGGAGCCGCCTAAGCTACGCCCGGATAGAACGCCTGACTAGGCGAAAATCTGCCTTGTTTTCAGCAAGGTGCCTGAGTATCCTGCGTGGAATGTGTGTGGATCCTATCCATTAAAGCCCAAGACCTGAATTACAAAAAAAGGAAGGCAAACTGTGCACAGTTTGCCTTCCGAGCCCACAGTTGACTTCCCGAGCCTCTCTGGTTACCAAATGACGCCCCGCAAAACTGCAGAGAGTCGTAAGCCCAAAATTGGTTGGCGAGAGTCCCAACCGCTCCCTCCTGAAGGGAGTAGGGCAAGGCAAGCTGTGTACAGATTGGAAATTGTTGTAATTCAGGTCATGCTCGACCACATAGTAGTCACGTGAAACTCCTAGGTAGAGCAGAAAGCCAATAGAGCTGGAGCCCAATCCACCGGAAAAAAAAAAAAAAAAAAAAAAAAAACACCAAACAGATTCTATGCGATGGCGCCGCTTTTTACTCAGCGTCGTCGTCGAAACCCTGCGCGACCGCGCAAACGACAGTTTGCGGCGCATGCATCTCCTCTCCGAGCTCGATAATAGGTAATCAAACGGTCGATCGCGGTCATTTCCCGCGCATTCGCCCTATGTTTGCCTCAGCTACATTCCCCTCCCGCGCTTCCTAGTCGACGTCACACCCTGCCACCCACGCTTCCCCTCGTCGCCGTCGCCGTCCCCCACGCTTCCCCCCACCGTCGTCCTCGCTTCCTCCAGCTGTCGCTCACACTTTACTCCGTCGTTGACCACGCTCCCCCTCCCGTCGCTTTCGCTTCCTCCCACCGTCGCCCTCGCTTCCTCCCACCGTCGCCCTTGCTTCCTCCCACCGTCGCCTTCGCTTCCTCCAACCGTCGCTTTCGCTTCCTCCCACCGTCGCCCTCGCTTCCTCCCACCGTCGCCCTCGCTTCCTCCCACCGTCGCCCTCGCTTCCTCCCACCGTCGCCCTCGCTTCCTCCCACCGTCGCCCTCGCTTCCTCCCACCGTCGCCCTCGCTTCCTCCCACCGTCGCCCTCGCTTCCTCCCACCGTCGCCCTCGTTTCCTCCCACCGTCGCCCTCGCTTCCTCCCACCGTCGCCCTCGCTTCCTCCCACCGTCGCCCTCGCTTCCTCCCACCGTCGCCCTCGCTTCCTCCCACCCTCCCCTACACTCCGCCGTCGTCATCACTTCCCTGCCTATCACGTTCACCCTCTTCGTCACACGTCGCCTCTCTCTCTCCCCCTATTCTACCTTCACCACTCCTACCGTCGTCCATGGTTACCACCCCACACTTGAACCCTTCTCATTCTCTCACATTCTCCCTTCTCCCTTGCTTCTCGCCCACACTAAACGCAGAGATGTATGGCGCCTGGGCGCTGGGTATGGGGTCGTGAATTGTTCGCTGTGGGGTGTGTGAGGGTGCGTGGTGCGAAGGCTAGGGGAGAATGAAAGCTGATGGGGTGCGAGTCGAGGAGCACGCACCCTGCCCCTCACGCTGTGTCACTCACAACCCAATGGCAGCACAGCAAGCTTAGCAACCTCCTCCTCACTCTCGCACCAACCCCGCACACAGCCGGGGAAGCTCGTGCAGGCGGGCAGTGAGGAGCGCTGTGCACAAGGGGGCGAGGGGGTGGGGCAAGGGAGCGGGGGAGGCGTGGCAGGGGAGTGAGGGAGGGGGGAGTGGGGGAGGCGGGGCAGGGGAGTTGGGGAGGGGGGCAGGGGAGTGGGGGAGGGGGGGCAGGAAGCCGTCCCGTCTTCCTCCTCTTCCTCTTATTTGCCTTCTCCTGTCCGTCCTTCCACTCTCCATGCCTCCCTCCTCTCTTTCTCTCTCTTTCCCTCCTTCACTTCTCCCGTCCGCCCGTGCTCCCAGCCTCCCTCCTCCGTACCACTCTCCCACCCACTCTTTCTTTCATCCTCCTGCCTCTCTTCCACCCTGCCACTCTTCTTTTCAGACTGCCACCTTCCGAGCTTCTTTTAGTCCACCTTTCCGTCTCACCCACTTGTCCTCTCCCAACTTGATCCTCACATCCTCCCATCCCCCCTTCTCCCCTTCCACCCTCCAACCCTTGCGCTCATCCTCCCTTCGTCTCACCCTCCTTTTTTCTCATCCTCCCATCCTCCCTCTCTTCCCTCCCCCCTCCCTTCCTCCTGTCCTCCCTTCCTCCCTTCCTTTCTTCCTCTCTTCCACCCTCTGCCCTACTCTCTGCTTCAGTGACTTTCTCCCCTCTCTTTCCCCTTTCCTCCCTCCCTTCATCTCATCCTCTCTTCCGCCCTTCTTCCTTGTCTCCCTTGCTCATTTCTCCCTCCTCATATTCCCTGTTCCCTGCGTCCCTCGCTGCCATCCTCCCTTCCTCTCAGCCTCCTCACTTCCTCTCGTCAACCATTCCTCCGCACCCTTCTACCCTGCCACGCCTATACACTCCTACCTTGTTCTAGGGGCTTGTTTCTTGTTGCCTGCCTGCCCTTGCATTGTCATTGTTTTGTATCCTTCCCCGCTGCTTCGACTCTTGGCACATTAGATTTTGTGGTTCGTGTTTGTCCAGGTCTGCCATGTATCTACGTAGCTGTGATGCCTTCACTCTTTGATGATAGTGGTATGACAAATAGCCATGCCATGTATGTTGGATGCTTCTCATGATACAACACTTTGGGCCTCGGAGCAGCCATGTACGTGAGCACGACAATGAAATGCAACAAAGCAAGAGATTTTCTTCCTTACAGTTGTCGCCAGTGGACTACAGGCACAATGCACAAATCTGGAAGGTGGTAACTTTCCATCCCACTCCTGTTGGGACCCATGGTGCTGGGCACCTGTACAAGCATGGTTCTGTGATAGAACGGGGAGGGAAGAGTGGGTATGGCGAATAAGCAAGGGCTGGAGGTTGGAGGTACAGAAGGGCATGTATAGCTGTGGAGCGAAAGGCAGTGCGGATGGTGGTGGTGCTGCTGCTGCTCGGGCTGTTGCTGTTGCTCTAGGAGTTACAACTGCTGCTACTTCTGCTGCGCCAGCTGCGCGCCGTTCTCCCTCCCCCTCCTCCTCCTCCTCCTCCTCCTGCTGCCGTGTCAAGAGCGGCTCCCTCAGCACGTCCCCAGCACCGCCAGCACTCGCAGATGCGGGCACATGGGGTCCCTTGCGCGCCGAGTCAGAGGAGGCACCTTGCGCAGAGGGGCGTCGCGAGGAGCAGCGCTGTGACGCTGGTGCCAGGGAGGCTGCCAGACCCACCGGGCTGCGCAGGGCGGACGCACCAGCAGCACCAGCAGCAGCACTGCCTCCGGCACCTGTGCCTGCAGCTGGAGAAACGGGAGCAGCGGCGGCAGCAGGAGCAGCAGGCGCAGCAGTGAGAGTGAGTGCAGGAGGCGGGGGCGAGGCGCCAATGGTGAAGGCAGGAGAGGGCGGGGAGAAGGTGGATTGAGAGAACACTAGCCTGGCCCTTGCAGGCGCCAGCGCGACCGCCGAGTCAGAGGAGGGGGGGATAGAGCCGGGCGGAGGGTTACCTTCCCGTGCTGCTGGAAATCCCCCCCTGCTGCTGACCGCCCATGGGGCTGCTGCTGCCCCCCATGCCTTGCACTGCAAGGAACGCACCCGACGACGCACCACCGGCGCCCATGCTGCTGCTCCCCTCCGTCGCCCAGTACGCTCCCGAGGCACCCTCCATCGCACCACCGCCACCCGTGCCCATGCCCACGAGCAAGGGCATGGCTAGCGCGCCTCCCACTCCCCCTCCCCCTCCCCCTCCGCCTCCTCCTCCGCCTCTCAGCGAGGGAGCTGACGCGGCTGATGTCTGACAGCAGAGAGTCGTAGCTCTCACTCCGCTCCAACACTCCCCGCCCCCCCCCCCGGGTGCCCTCCCTCTCCCCCTCCCTCCCCCGCCTGTCCCCCCCCAGACGCGCCTCGTCCTCGGGGAAGCTGCCCAGCATCACTGCCCGCTCCTCCCTCCCCAAGTTCCGTGCGGGGGAAGCGAAGGCTCCGCGCGGGGAAGCGAAGGCTCCGCGCGGGGGAAGCGAAGGCTCCGTGCGGGGGAAGCGAAGGCTCCGCGCAGGGGAAGCGAAGGCTCCGCGCGGGGGAAGCGAAGGCTCCGCGCGGGGGAAGCGAAGGCGACGCGCGGGGAAATCGAAGGCGACGGGGGGGAGAAGCGAAGGCGACGGGCGGGATAAGAGAAGGCAACGGTCATCCGAAAGCGAAGGCGGCGACGGGCGGGGGAAGCGAAGGCGACGGGATGGGGCCGCGAATGCGATGGGCTGCGGAAGCGAAGGCGACGATGCGGGCGATGGACAGAGGAAGCGTGGGACCCGGGTGAAGGAAAGCGAGGGCGAGGGATGGTTACGCTTGGCCGAACGTGAGGGTTATGCGAAACCTGCATTTTTACACCATATCTCATCGCATGCCGCTCAATATCCTTACGCTTCGAACTCACATTCCGCACCACACACCATCGCATCGCGCCTTGATCGCTCTAGAGTCGACGGCTACGCCCTGCCTACACGTATTCTATATTATGCCTAGTTTTAGTCTGCTGCTAGGATTGTCAAAGTGTGCACAGTTTGGTAGGCACGCTCAACTCTGGTTGTGGGAAGCACGCCATTCATCACAGGTCTTCTTCCAAGCGACACAACTTTGTTGCAAACTGGTTTCGCGAGTGAAAGGGTTTCGCAACCAAACCGAACCTCTTCCGAACCTAGTTTTTTGGCGTTGACTTCCGTTGAGTAATTCAGGTCTTGGGCTTTAAGCAGACAAAGATGGCAATGCACTGCTGTGGTCAGGCGGTCAAGAATGTGACATAGCACTTTCAGATTGAGCTTGGGCGCACAAGTGGGTCAGGTCGGGTGGGGCGGGGCGGAGGTGGGGGGCGAAGCGGGGCGGGGCGGGCGGAAGGACAGTCACTACGGGGCGGGGACCTCCGACTGGACTAGATGGTGCCATCGAAACATTTCGTTATTCGCGTTGCGATATAGAAACATTGCTCCTAAAATGAAGCGAATTGCAGAAGATCCTAGTGACAAAACCACTCTGCTTTACAAGCTACTAACTGCTCAACAATAATATGATTACGTCCTACACCAGCATAAAATTGGTACAGTAAGTGTCACTCTACAGATCAGTGCCATACAGCAACTCTGAAGAGCATGGGGTGGTGGTAACCCACACTGCCTTGGTGGTAGCCCTCACTGCCTTGGTGGCAGCCCACACTGCCTTGGTGGCAGCCTACACTGCCTTGGTGGCAACCCACACTGCCTTGGTGGCAACCCACACTGCCTTGGTGGCTACCCACACTGCCTTGGTGGCACTCCCTCATTTCCAACCTCCAAGCGGTGCCACCACATGGTGTGCAACTGCCTCTCCAGCCACCACCACTCCCCACCGGCAAGGAGGGGAGAGTGAGGCGAGGCAGAGTGCTAGTGGAGGGGGGCTGAACCCCCTGGGTAAGGCGAGAGCAAGGTAAGGTCAAGAGGTTGAGCCCCCAGAGCATGGCTTGTGAGAGGCAAAAGAAGGGGATTGAAACTACCAGACCAAGGCAAGCCAAGGACAGAGGAGGGGGGTTCCTCTGCACCTTGCTTGCCTCAGCCTGGGGATTCCAACCCCCCTCCCCCCCCTTGCCCTCACAAGCTTTGCCCTGAAGGCCAACCTCCTTCCCCCGCCTTGCTCTCCCCACCACTCCCCACAGCCACTCGCCAGGAGCACCACAGCAGCAGCAGCAGTGAGGCTATGAGCCAGCCCAAGACCTGAACCCTCACCGACGTAGCAAAAGGGGAGCCCCACCAGACCCCCGGCCGCAAGGTCTGGTGTTCGTCCATTATGCCTTAACGTGCGGCTATTGGGCCCAGGCTTGAAACAGACTCACACCCCCACTGCCACCCCACATCCACCACCACCACCACCACCGCCATCACCACCAACAGCACCAGCACCACCAACCCCAGAGGGTACCTGCCAGGGGGGAGGGGAGAGAAACAAGTTTAGTTCAAAAGTAGAAGCATTTGATAAGCAGAGGAGGGCAAGAAGCGAGAACAACTGAAGCAGAATGAGAAAGCAAGTGAAGCTGAATGTGAGAAAGCAAGAGAAAGGCAAGTGGCAAAATGAGGCTTGCTGTCTTACCTTGCACACAGCAGCGAGCCCCTCAGTCCGCCAGTGGCAGTAACAGTCCGCTCAGCAGCAGAAGGAGCGTGAAGTGAAGCTGACCAACACCACCAACGCCGCCACCACCACCAACGCCGCCATCAGCATCACAGCCGCCACCGCCACCGCTCCCGCCGCCGCCTGCGCCTCCACCAGTAGCAGCAGCAACCGTGGCTGAACACACAACGACTTCCCCTTCCAGCGGTAGTACTTGACAGGAGGGGGGAAGTGCAAATAAGTTAATTTACCCAGAGGTGAAAGCACTGGAGCAGTTAAGGAGGGCAAGCAGCGCGATGAAGCAGAAATGAGAAAGCAAGTGAAAGGAGAGAGGCAGATTCGAAAGCATGCAAGGATGAGGTGGGAGGCTTGCTGTCTTACCTTGCACACAGAAATGAGTCCATCAGTCCGCCAGTGGTGACAGTCCAGGCTGCAGCAGCAGCAGCAGTAGAAGCACAAGCAGAGTGGAGTGGAGAGCAGAGAGGAGAGCCAAGGTACCTGCTGGGGAAGGAAGGATGGGGTGAAAAACAAAATTTAGTGGAGGCAATGAAGGAACATGCCAAATCAAGCACACATGCGTGCGGGAACGAGCTCTGCTGCTGCGCACACCCATGGGGATACCTTTCTATGGGGGTTATACCTTACCTTACTGTCTGAACATGTTACCTGGGGAGCCCTGGGGCGTGCTACAGGCAGCTAGAGCGATGTGAAGTGCATGAAAGCGAGACAGTGCTAAATATGGGAAAGGCGGAGGCAGAGAGGGAGGGAGTGGAGTTACTCATCTTGTCTCTTGGGAGGCGCGTGTGACAGGCGGTCGGTTCGGTGCAGCCAAGGAAGAGCGCCCTGCTGCCCGCCAAGTCGTTGCATGCGGGTCCAGAGCAACCTGCTAAGGCGGACAGGGGGAGGGGGGGGTTGGGAGGGCGGGGGGTGGGAGTGGGAGAGGGGGGTGAGTAAGTGGGATGGCAAGAGAAGGATGGGAGCAGCAAGGGTTGATATGAGTGGCATGAGTGGAAGCGGAGGGAGTACTGCTGTCGCACACCCAAGGGGGTACCTTCAGTTAAAGAAAACCTGGTAGGGGGTATACCTGACTATCAGTGTGAACCTAAGACCTGGGGGGACCCTTGGGTGTGGTGCGAGCAGGTGGGGTGACATGAAACATGGATGAACGAATGAATGATGGATGATGGATGATAAAAAAATCAAAGGCAAAGGAGGTTGAGGAGAGGGGTGGTGACACTCATATGTGAAGGCAGCAATGTCGTCCGCAAAGGCATCAAGGATGTTCGCTAAGGCAGCAGCATCGTCTGCGCAAGCAGGAGGGAGGTCCGCGCAGACATCGAAACTGGAGCGAGGGTGGGGGGAAAGGGGTTGAGTTAGCGACAGTGGAGGGAGAGGAGCAAGAGGAGAAGAACGATCCAAGCAAGAGGCGTGAGACAAGGGGGGAACCTTAGTTTGAATTTTACCAGCTAATAACCACCCTTGGGCTTAACATTTTTGCACCTGCAAGGGGGGGACCTGCACGTACCTGTACGAACCTGATACCTGGTACCAAGGAGTTGGGTGTGCTGATGAGAGGGCGAGCAGACATGCGAAGTGAAGGCATGCGAAACGCGCGGATGGGGAGCAGATAGCAGAGGCGGATCGGAGCGATACTTATCTTTCGATGTTGCCTTGACGGCAGCAGAACGGACGTTGACTGCAGTAGAAAGGTGTTGACCCAAGCAGAATGGACGTTGACCCGAGCAGCACCGGGGATGATCAATGGACTCAACTTGACTCTGCGAAGGAACAGGTGAGGGAGGTGCGAGGGAAGGAAATGAGTGCAAGGGACGAGACAAGCGACAATGGGAATGGAACAAACAAGTGAATAGAACGAACAACGAAAGCTGGTGTAGCACACCCTAGAGGGGGTACCTTATAAATTTTGCACCTGCAGTGGGGGGATGTGGGAACTACATATACCTTAGACTCTACTCCTCCCGCGCCCAGATCTACTCCCCCTTCACCCAGATCTGCACATTTCGTTACCAAATCTGCATTCTGCGCGTCCAGGTCTGCATTCCGCGCATCCAGATCTGCACCCCGCGCGACCAGATATGCCCTCCGCGCGACCAGATCTGCATTCCACGCATCCAGATCTGCACTCCGCGCGACCAGATCTGCATTCCGCGCGACCAGACTTGCACTCAGCGCGACCAGATCTGCATCCCGCGCATCCAAATCTGCACTATGCGCGCCCATATCTACATACCTCGTGACCAGATCTGCACTTTCCGCGCCCAGATCCACTCCTCCCGCGCTCGGATCTGCCACAGGGCTGCCCTCCTCGTCCCTACCCACAGCAGCATCATCAGCGGCATCTGCAGCGACGCCAACAGCAGCACCCTTCCCCCTGCCTCCCCCATAACACCGCTCCCCCCCTCCTCCTCCTCCACCTTCCCCCACCTTTCGCTCCTCCCTTCCCCCTCCCATCCTACCAGCAGCAGGACCAGCAGCAGCACCAGCAGCAGGATCAGCAGCGGCACCAGCAGCAGGACCAGCAGCGGCACCAACAACAGGACCAGCAGCGGCACCAGTAGCACGACCAGCAGCGCCACCAGCAGCAGTACCCTCGCCCCATCCTCCTCCTGCCCTTGTTTCCACCCACCCTCGTCTCTATGGCATCGTCAGGTTCTTCCGTCGACCTTGCTAGTATTGATGCACTCGAGTTGCTACTAGACAACACTGCTGCTAATTGGCACTCCTACGCTCACTCGGTCGAGGTTCTCCTCTCCTCTGTTGTGATCAGCAGCTACAACCTTCGCTCGGTTGTCTTCCAGGAAGGTGGTGGACTTCAGCCCGTGGCCCCCACCGCTCCCACTGGACTTGTCCCCACCCACCCTGGCGTTGAGCCCTCTCCCCCTGGTGATCCTCCCACCTTCGCACCGAATGTCAACGACCCGCAGAGCTCGGAGACCGCCACCCACGCCCACCTCCCTCCTCGGTGCTGATAGCAGTTTTTCTATCCCCTGTCACAACACTTCCACCCTTCCCTGTCCTCTCTTTCCCTCAGATACTGTCACCGGTCTCCACATTCCCTCCCTACGCACTAACCTCCTCTCCCAAAGGTCCCTCCAATAAGCCAATATCACCACTGTCTTCCCAGGTGGTGCTAACTACTGTGCCCTTTACAATACTGCTATAGGTCGCCTTCCCTCTTGTAGTCCCTTCTGTCCTCGTTCCCGTCTGTACACCCTTCGGCTTCTCCGTCCCCCCACCTGCTAAGTCGCCTCTCCCTCTCTCCTCCCCCCCCCCCCTCCCCTCCCTCCCACTAACCCACCCCTCCCTCCCCGCCCCCCTGACTCTGACTGTTTTTGTCGCTCACTCTCCCACCCTACCATCCTCCTCCATCACAGGCTAGGTCACCCTAACTTCGCTACTCTGCGCTCCTCTGTCTCCTCCGGTCCCCTCCACGGTCTCCCCTCCTCCCTCCCTACCCTCCCCAAATCCCCTGTCCCCCCCTTGCACTGTCTGCGTTCAGAGCAAGCTCAAGCAGCAGCCGCACCGGAGCTCCCCGTCTGATGCTGCACAGCCACTTGATCTTGTTCACATGGACCTCTGGGGCCCTAATCCCTCTCCCACTCGCCAGGGTCATCGCTACCTTCTCATGCTCGTTGATGATCACAGTCGGTACTCGTCCGTCTCTCTCCTTCAGATGAAGGCGGACGCCCCGGCTACGATCATCGCCTAGCTCGAGCGGGCAAACACCCATTTTGGGCGCCCTGTTCGCCGCTTTCACTCTGATGGTGGTGGTGAGTTCCTTAACAACCAAGTCTCCTCCTATTGTCAATCTCGTGGCATTCTTCAGACTTACACCCTCCCTCACTCCCCACAGCAGAACGGTGTGGCTGAGAGTCGTGTTCGAGAGATCACCAAAACAGCCCGGTGTCTTCTTGTCCACGCCTCCTGCCCCCCTTCTCTGTGGGGCTACGCCCTCCTTCATGCCGCCCTCCTTACTAACCTTTACCCTCACCCTCTTTTCCCTTCCACCACCCCCATTGAGATGTGGACAAAGGACAAGCCTGATATCTCATCTCTTCGTGTCTGGGGCTCAAAGGCATATGTCCTTATTCATCCCTGTGACCGCTCCCGCTCCATGGGAAAGCTTGCCCCTCGCACCCTTCCCTGCATCTTCCTTGGTTATAACCCTACCTCACCTGACTACCTTTTCCTCCATCCCCCCCCAGGTCGTCTATTCCGCAGTATGGATATGGTCTTTGATGATTCCACTCCCTACTACTCCTCTCCCCCATCCACTGACCCACTCCCCCCTCTCACCCATCCCCTTGTCTGGTCTGACACCACCCCTCCCCCATTACTCCCTCCCCCCCCCCCATCCTCCCACCCCCCCCCCTCCATCGTCCCCGTCCCACGGTGCCCCTCCCTCGTTTGGTGATATCTTTGACACGAAACCTCTGTCCTCTCCGGTCTCCCCCACACATTCCTCTCCCAGTGCCCCTCCCCCCCTCCTCTCCCCTTCCTCGCCACCGACCCGTCCTTCCCCTTCTCCCCTCACCGTACTTACCCGGTACCCCCATACCAGGTCACGTGACGGTATCATTGGTGCACCGCCCCCTGTTACCCTCTCTTCCTCTACCCTCCCCCCTCTCTCCCCTCTCCTTCACCACTTCTTCCAAGATGTCTTGCATCAACCTCCTCCTGCAGCAGCCCCCTCTGCCTCCTCTCCCTCACCAGCAGCAGCGTCCGCAACGTCACCAGCAGCTGCACCAGCAGCAGGACCAGCTGCAGGACCAGCATCGGCACCAGCAGCAGGACCAGCAGCGGCACCAGCAACGGCACCAGCAGCAGCACCAGCAGCGGCACCAGCATCGGCACCAGCAGCAGCACCAGCAGCCATCTCCGCCTTCCACACCTCCCTCTCGGAGGACTCCCATGAGGAGTTCCTTGACCTCCACCCCTGTAACCCCTCGCTTCTACCCACCACATTCGACCTCTCCGGCACACCCGTCTTCGCCTTCTCCTCTTCTCCCCCCATTTTCATCCCTACCCCATATGCGGAGGCAATGGCTTGCCCCGACGCCCCTCTCTGGCTCGCCGCCATCATCAAGGAGCTGGAGGTCTTTATCGCCAACTCCTCCTTCGTTGATGTGCCTCGCCCTCCCGCCTCTACAAACGTGGTGAAGGGGAAGTGCGTGTTTCGCGTCAAGCAGCTGCCAGGGGAGCCGCCCGTCTACAAGGCTTGTTACTGTGCCAAGGGCTTCACGCAGCGGTATGCTGTTGACTTCTTCGATACCTTCTCCCCTACCGCCAAACCTGCTACTGTTCGAGCCGTGCTCGACCTCGCCGCTCGCCTAAATATGGAGATCCACTCGATGGACGTTTCTAACGCCTTTCTGCAAGACGTCCTCCGCGAGCTAATCTACATGGAGCCGGCTTTCACCTTCCCTTCCCAGCTAACTCTGTTTGGCAGCTGCGTCGACCTGTGTATGGGCTCCGACAGGCCCCTAGGGAGTGGCATGCTAAGCTTGCCGCCACCCTTGCTGAACTTGGGTTTCGCACCTCCCGCTCCGACGCCAGCCTCTTCCTCCGCGCCTCCCCCTCTCCCATCTACATCCTTGTGTATGTCGATGATATGATTCTGCTCACCGCCGACCTTGCTGCGTTGGAGCGTGTTAAGGCTGAGTTGGGTTGCCGTCTCAAGTGCAAGGACTTGGGAGAGCTGCAGCATTACATGGGCATGACCATCACCCGCGATCACTCCGCCCGCACCATCTCTTTCTCCCAAGGTCATTACTTGCAGCAGGTCTTGGAGCGGTTTGACATGGACCGGGGCGGTGCCCAACATACTCCTCTTTTTGTCGGGCACCACCTCTCTCTACCCACCTCCCCCTCGACCTCTTCCCATCCTTATCTCGAGCTCGTCGGCTCCCTTATGTACGCCATGGTCTCCACTCGCCCTGACCTTGCCTACCCCATCATCGTCCTCGCTCGTTTTGTTGGCGCATGCAACTATACGGAAGAGCACTGGCAGGCCGCCAAGCGTGTCCTCCGGTACTTTCGTGGCACCAAGGACTATGTCCTTACCCTTGGCGGCCCCTCCCCACCTCTCCTCAGCAGCTACAGTGACTCCTCTTAGGCTGATTCTCGACCGGATCGTCGCTCCTCCCATGGCTATGGCTTCTCTCTTGGCAGCGGCCTTATCAGCTGGCGCTCCACCCGCTCCTCGGCTATCGCCCTCTCCTCCTGCGAGGCGGAGTTGTATGCCGCTACCAAGGTTGCGCAAGAGGCCCGTTGACTCACCTTCTTTCTTGAGGAACTTGGTGCCCCCCAACGCTGTCCCACCATCTGGTATAACAATGCCAGTACCATTCACCTCACTAAAGATACTGTGTTTCACGGGCGCTCCAAGCACATCGAGCTCCGTCATTTCTTCATTCGCGATCTTGTTCAGGCGGGGCACCTTCGGCTCGACAAGATTAACTCGGCGACCAACATTGCCGACATCTTCACAAAAGCTCTTCCTCATGCGGCTCACTCTTCACTACTTCATCTCCTTGGCCTCACTCCTCCTAAGTCGCCTCCCGCCTCTTGATTCTAGCCTTCTAGCCTTATGCATGTTGGGGGGTTGTGTTGTGATCTCATATTCTATACAACATACATAGGCTAGAATTAGATGTGTAGCACATTTATAAATTGGGGGGTTGTTTAGTGTACCCTCTAACCACATTTTGTGGTTGGTTGGGATTGGTCCTTAACTCAACCAATCCCAACCAACACACATTTGTGATTGCTTGGGCCACAAGCAAGCTCACCCATTGGTCAACATATTGGCCAATAGGGTAAGCTTCCCTCTCATCTCTCTCTTGCTCATTGTTTGTACTCAAGGGCCTTTGGTTCATTATTCAATTCATCAATTCTCTCCTTCAACACGAAGTTCACCAGCAACTTCTGACGGAACCTGTGGCAGCAGTTCGACACGCGACTACAGTTCAGTTCTTCATACCACCCCGAGACCGACGGACAGACAGAACGGACAAATCAGACCATGGAGCAACTCATCCGAGCCACGTGCGACGACCCGACTACCTGGGAACAGCAACTGCCACTCATCGAGTTCGCGTACAACAACTCGCCATCCGCCACAACCCAACAGTCACCGTTTTACCTGAACTACGGACAAGACCCCATAGTACCCGTGACTGCGAATCCCGACAACCCGGTGCCACGCGCGCAACAGTTCGCAGAGATCTAACAAGCAGCACGGACCCGAGCAGCAGACGCAATAAAAAAAATGAACATCTTCGCTAAGCGTAACGCCGACCGCCACCGCCGACCCGTCACTTACCAGCCCGACGACCTCGTGCTACTCGATACTCAAAACCTCCGCCTGCCCATCACCCCAAAACTCCGCCCTGATATTGCGGGCCATTTCACATCAGCCACATGATCACATATGTCACCGCCCACCTCCTCCTCCCTGCTGACTGGTACGTCAGCCCGTCATTCCACGTCAGCCTGCTTCGCCCATACGTGCCATCCACCAGCCAACTGCCTCGCAACCGCCCCGCCAGCATGACACGACCACCGACAGAACCAATCATCACGCCCGAAAAAATACCGAGCCACCGAGTACGTGACCCACAGGGAGCCCGCAAGATAAAATTCCTGATCCGTTGGAAAGACCGCACGGATCATTTCACAATTGGGTTCCCTTAGATAGAATTGAGAATCACCCTGTCCTCACTGAGTATCTGCGCAGTCGAAATTTTCGAGATGTACACGCACTCTCGTAAGGAGGGCCTCCTTGGGGAGGGGGGTCGTGTAAGGAAAATTCATTTTCCTTACTTCGCGCCCCTGCTTACCGCGTACAAGTCCATTTCCGCCATCGGCAACCAAACAGTGAAACGTTACCCGCTCGCGACACCCGCCTCGACTACGACTCCCGCCACTGTTCACGACGCGACACAACCTCACGGTTCGGTTGGTAACCCGCGCTCCGGACCTCCGCATCGACATATCCCAACATCGACGCTAGGCTCGTAGCGCACCCCAAATCATCGCGCTACCGTTACCACTCTAGTTCGCTATATATTCTTCGCGCATGCCTTCGCTCATTGTACTGTTTTGCTTCGATAGTGCAATTCTCGCCCGCTCGCTCAATTGCACTCGTAACACCAGGTATTCAGAGCCTACGATCTCCTCTCGGACCGCACCCACACCTTCGCTTCCCCACTATATCATTTTTTTTGGGGGGTAGACGTCTCTCAGTGAACAAGCACCGCCGCTCGAAGTGCTCTCTCGTAAGCACTCATGGCCATGATAGAGGCTCTCGCTGAGCTTGCACGACACCCCCGCCATGGCCGAAATTAATCTTGCGACACTGACACATGAGCAGCTCGACCGTATCGTGCGCCAACTCGAAGATTCGGCGCTCGAAATTGCGACACTCACGGCAGAACGCGACTCCGCTCGCCAGCAATCGACGGTGAATGCACCAGCACCAACACATGCACCTGCAAATGCACCTGCACAATCGGAGGAGCCGATCGTCATCTCATCAAGCAAACCGACACAGAACGGCAGCGTGGGACAACGCTCAGGCGTAGCCAGTGATGGCGCCGCTCACTCAATGCCTTGCATGGAGAGGAACAGGGCCGCAACAGGCACACAAGGGCCTCGCGAAGTCCGCCGGCACATGGAGTTCGCCGCAACGAGTGGCAATAACGACATCATGGCGCCGATGCCACTCAAGCCGCAGCGCCCGCCCTGCTTCGATCCTAGCCAAGAATATGGCGGCCTAGAGAGCTAAGAAGAAGATCGAGGCCCGTACGGGCTTCTTCGATGGCGTCAGCATCAGCGCCGTCGAAATCCGTTCCGTCCTCGTCGTCAGAAAGGGCATTGTCATGGCCAGCCATGGTGGAACAACGAAGAGAGTGTGTGGAGCACCGTCCCGGCTAGAGGAGAATGAACCTAAACCCTCGTGAGGATGAGTGTGGTGGGGTGGGCGTTGAGGAACAAGATGGGATGGGGGTAATCAAGAAGGAGCTGGTGAAGAAGGGTTTGTTGCAAGGCGACCGTTAGTATGCAAGAACCTGGTTGCAGGTTCGGGGTGGGTGATGTGGGGGTGGTTGCCTAGTCGCGCGGCAACAATCTGCTTGGGTGTGCTGTGCTGCTGCATCGTGAGTGAGAGATGCTGTTAACGTGCCATTCGCCAGAAAGTGATGTGGTTGCCCAAAACAACCAATCACGAGCGAAGAGACCTGCGCTCAAGGTAGGTGCGGGAATGATGCCACTTCCAGTGTAACGGAATTTTGGTAGTGCGTTGGCGGGGAATCTTGACATCTCGTCGTGATTGACGGGGGGGTCGGTCGTTCCAGTGTACCTAGACAGCTACCATCATCTCTCCGTTTCCGCAGCACCGCAGCAACCAGTCTTGGCCTCCATCGCGCCACGATTTTGTTGCTATTGCAAGGCACTGTCCTTTAAGCAACAAAATTATATTTTTCAGGGATTCGTTGCCGAGTTTCCTCCCCCGCACACGCTTGAGGTCCCGTCACTTTACACGTCTCTCCTCAATCTCACATCCGAATCAAAATTCTTCCGAACACTTTCTTCTCTCGACTCTCGCTTTTAGACCAGCAGTCCGCATTTTCGGTCGTAGAGTCTGTAGATCTGCTGCGCATCCGCAAAGAGCGGCCATGGCGGAACCCGAGGCGCCGCCGAGCCCTGTGCCTGTGAGGTTCGGCATCCTAGGGGCGGCGAGGATCGCAAAGAAGGTGGTCCGCGCGATGTGGTGCGTGCCGGGTGTCATCCCGTACGCCATAGGCAGCCGTTCTTACGAGCGAGCCGCGCAGTTCGCTAAGGAGGTCGGCATGGCTGACGACGCCGCGATTTACGGCAGCTACGCTGGCGTCATCGCGGATCCGTTAGTAGACGCCGTTTATATCCCGCTGCCGACTGGGCTCCACGTGGAGTGGGTTGTGAAAGCCGCGAATCACGGAAAGCATATTCTGCTAGAGAAGCCCGTGTCGCTGAATGTGGATGATCTGAATACCATGATCGCAGCCGTCGATTCGGCGGGGGTTCAGATCATGGACGGCACGATGTGGATGCACAACCCACGGGCAGCCGAAATGAAAGCGGCCATGCAGGACAGAGAATCTTTCGGGCAGCTCATGCGCGTGACCTCGAATTTCTTCTTCCCAGCATCAGAGGAATTCATGAAGAAAGACATTCGGCTGAAAAAGGATTTAGACGGATTGGGGTGTTTGGGAGACATTGGGTGGTACTGCATTCGAGCGGCACTCTGGGCTGCAGATTTCGAGCCTCCATACAAAGTGCTGGGTCTCCCGGATCCCAAGGTTAACGAAGAGGGCGTTTTGATTCGCTGCGGTGGTTACCTGTGTTGGCGAAACGGGTTAACTGCTCTGTTCCAGTGCGGATTCGATTCTCCTGATTCTCAGCGCCTTGAGTTTGCAGGCTCCCTCGCTACAATCACACTCGAGGACTTCAGCATTCCGTTCCAGGAGAATAAGGCCGAATTTGTGATTGAAAAGGGTTCCAGATGGCCGAATTCAGATCTGGTGGTGGAATCAACGGGGGAGAGGAGGGAGATTGAGCTGACGTGGACGCAGGAGGCGATGATGATTGCTGAGCTGGCACGGATCGTGAGGGGAGTGAGAGGGGGGGGAGGGAAGGCGGCATTGGATAGGAGATGGGTGGATATGATGGTGCAGACACAGCAGGTGGTGTGTGCCGTGCATGACTCCATTGCAAAGGGAGGGGTGCCTGTGCTTATAGAGGATGGTCAGGAGAAGAAGCCATGAGTAGCTTGTTACTGAGTCAAGTGTGTACGCTCTGCATGACTCCATTGCAAAGGGAGGGGTGCCTGTGCTTATAGAGGATGGTCAGGAGAAGAAGCCATGAGTAGCTTGTTACTGAGTCAAGTGTGTACGCTCTGCATGACTCCATTGCAAAGGGAGGGGTGCCTGTGCTTATAGAGGATGGTCAGGAGAAGAAGCCATGAGTAGCTTGTTACTGAGTCAAGTGTGTACGCTCTGCATTACTCCATTGCAAAGGGAGGAGTGCCATGCTGATGAAACAGGGTCAGGAGAAGGTTCAGGAGAAGGGCCAGAATAAGGGTCAGGAGTAGCATGGTATGTTTGCCATCAAATCAGGTGTTTGTGCCATGCACCGTGCATGGCTCCATCATCCAGCGCCCATGGCCACATGACCCCAACTCCCTGCTGACACACTCCCAGTGAGTTGCCAAGCAGGGGAATCGCAGCTGGCTTCTGCACTTGGAAGCTGGGTAAAGTGTTATGTGATCCATCCTGCAGTGTGGTGTGGACGTTTGTGCTTGTCCCTCTGGATCAGCTTTCCTTCCGGTAAGCTAGCGGGCCTCTGCTCCCACCCACAGCTGTACCGCACTAGTTCATTCCTGGAACAGCAACCTGAGCACATCTCCTTACGAAACAGCATTGCTGAATGAAATCATCCATCCTTCTGATACCACTGCCTTGGATAGACTTATTAACCTGACGCCTCTCGTCTTGATCTTGCTTCATCCCCCAAAGGGTTTCAGTCAGTTCAATTCAGAACAAGAGTGAGGGAGCGCATTCAGTTAACACACTGAATAGATACTCATTTCATTTCATTGCAGTACTGTACACTACACATCAACCCTGCCACTTCCATATCCCCTCCACCCTCTATCATGTTAACGGCTGCAAGCCGTCCTGGTGGCTGCAAGCCGTCCTGGTGGCTGCAAGCCGTCCTGGTGGCTGCAAGCCGTCCTGGTGGCTGCGGGCACTCTAAGCAGCACATGTCATGACCCAGATTTCACGCCAGCATGAAGGCAGGCAGGCACGCGCTTGAACCCTCCGCCCTCCGCCATGCCAGTGCTAGCAACCCCCACCAGAATGTCAAAGGCAGCACACCACGCTCCCTCCAGCATGTCAGAGGCAGCACATGCCATGACGCACGACCCACAACTCATGCCAGCATGAAGGCAGGCATGCGTTTGAACCCCCCGCCCTCCGCCATGCCAGTGCTAGCAACCCCCTCCAGCATGTCAAAGGCGGCACAACACGCGCCCTCCAGCTCCCCGTGCCACCGCTCCCCAAACGCCTTCTTCAGTGCCTTCATGAATCCCGTTCGGAACACCTGGTGGTGAGGGGCGGTGAGAGGCAGCGATGTGAGAGGGCAAACAAGGAGGAATGCCGAGCAGGCGACAATGGGACGGGGACACGGATGGAGCCCACTCTTGTCCCGTGCACGCTGCATGCTTCATGCTCTCTGTTGACTTGCTGCCTCTCATTTCCTCCCTTCCACCACTACATCCCACCTTCCACCCCCTCACTTCCTTCCCAGCACCCTGTCAATACTCAACCACAATCCCCAATCCCCCGATCCGTATTCCATGCTTCTCACTGGAAAGTCGTTGCCATCGATGCCGTAGTTGAGATGTCGGCCGCCCAGCGCCTTGAAGAAAGGCGTTACTTGCTCATACCCTCCCCTCCTTCTCCCTCATCTTTCCACTTGCAACATCAATCCATCATCCCCACCATCCACCATCCACCCACTCACCGGAAAGTCGTTGCCATCGATGCCGTAGTTGAGGTGTCGGCCGCCCAGCGCCTTGAAGAAAGGCACCGATTTCTCCACCTGGGCAGCGTCGTCCCATTTGCAGAACGCCTCACACATCTGACCCAATGATTGCCACCGGGGAGGAGGATAGGGGAGAGGAGAGCGGGGAGACGGGAGACGGGAGACGGGAGAGGGGAGCGGGGAGAGGGGAGAGGGGAGAGGGGAGTTGGGAGAGGGGAGAGGGGAGAGGGGAGAGGGGAGAGAGGAGAAGGGGTTGACCGTATACCTCCTGTGCACGAGACTGTGTGTCCACCTCAGCAGGGTCGTCCCACCTGCAGAACGCCTCGCACATCTGGGAGATGGTGGACCAGGGAGAAAGGGGTGGGGGTATGCGTGGGTGGGGAAAGGGGGAGGGGGGTATGCATGCATGGGTAGTAGGGGGAATGGGGGGAAGGATATGCACCAGCAGGAGAGGATGAACGGGACTGTGTGTGGGAGAACGACCTCTCACATCTGACATGGAGGACCAGGGGGGAAGAGGAGCCGGGGGGGACGGAAGAGGAATGTGAGGGACGCGAGAGGAATTGAGGGAGGGAAGGGGACGGGAAGGGGAAGAGAGAGGGGAGTGTGGGAGGGGAGGGGAGCAGTGGCAATGATGGGGAGGAGGGGTCTTGTTGTGAGGAGTAAGGAGCGGATTGGGGGATGGTGGAGATTGGCTGTGACTCGCGGCTCTGACTGGTTGCTCTGCTCACACCAAGTTCCCTTCTACCCCAGCCTATTTCCTCATTCATCCCCTCTTCTCCCTTGCCCATCCTACTGACTACGCCCTTTTCCCTCTACAATCGCCTTTTCCCAGTGCCATACCATGCGGAAGGACATGGTGGCATGAACAGTACCATGTGGAAGGACATGGTGGCATGAACAGTACCATGCGGAAGGACATGGTGACATGAACAGTACCATGCGGAAGGACATGGTGGCATGAACAGTACCATGCGGAAGGACATGGTGGCATGTGCGTTGAGCTTGATGTTGACCGGAGCCGGCTCGCTTGACTCGCGCACCATGGAGAAGAGTCGCTTCGCGTCCGGTACCATGTCAAATATGCTGGTGGGGGGGAGGAAGAAGGGGATGAGGGGGAGGAAGAAGGGGGTGAGGGGGAGGAAGAAGGGGGTGAGGGGGAGGAAGAAGGGGGTGAGGGGGAGGAAGAAGGGGGTGCCTCGAAAACAACCTCAATGCACCATTGAGAAGAGGCGCTTGGCGTCCGGTACCATGTCAAATATGCTGGGGAAGGGGGGGGAGGAGAGGGTATGGAGAAAGACAGGTTTGGGAGGGGGGAAGAAGGGGTGAGGGGTTGGGGTTTGGGGGGGAGGGGAGGGAAGGGAGGAGAGGGTATGGAGAAAGACAGGTTTGGGAGGGGGGAAGAAGGGGTGAGGGGTGAGGGGTTGGGGTTTTGGGGGGAGGGGAGGGAAGGGAGGAGAGGGTATGGAGAAAGACAGGTTTGGGGGAGGGGGGGGAAGAAGGGGTTGGGGTTGGGGAGGGGGGGAGAGAGGGGGGGAGGAGAGGGGGGAGGGGGGGGTCGGAAGGGTGGAGAGAAAGAGGGGAATGGAGGAGGGACGGATCATGAACTTCCCAAGTATGGGATCATGGAGTTCAGTGGAAGGGTGGAGAGGGGTTGATCTTACTGGTTGAGGGGGACATAACGCAATGTGGGGTTGATCTTACTGGTTGAGGGGGATATAACGCAATGTGGGGTTGTGTAACGCAGAACGAGAGCATGTATAACGCAATGGAGGTACGTTACATCGACAGCTCCATCCGTACGTACGTGAGGTACATTATGATCGCGTGTTTGTCCAGATCAGGCTCCAGCTCAGCGTACGACTCTCGTATCAACTCGCCCTGCAGACTCGTCAGCACTGTCTGCCTCTCCGCGTCCGCCACGTGGATCGGCGGCCCATCCATACTAGGATCTGCGAAGCTGCTGATTTTGTAACTCGGGATCGGCGGACCGCTGAGATCATCGTCATTGTGATATGGAAAGTGCGACATGGCGACGAACGCGACGCGACGAAACGTCGCTCAGAAAAGGTGAAAGCGTCGGTGTGGGGAACTACCAGAAGTAGACCCGCGATGGTGTGGGTACTACCAGAAATAGACCGGCGTGTCGGTGTGGGAACACGCTCGGTTGTGATGCCGCGCTTGCTGCTCCGCGCGCTAGATCTACCGGCTACGGGCGCTTGCTGCCGCGCTTTCTGCTACGCGTGTATCACGGCGACCTCGACATTGCCGCGGCTCTCAAACCACGACGCCGCATGGCGCGCGCGAGAGGAAAAAAAGGGTCGGTCGCCGTATTCGAGTGCTGTTTGCAGGTGTAGCGCGACCCGGTCGGGCGGTGACTCGGAGGATCTCAGACCTCACCAGCAGCGCCCAGGCTGTGCGGCTTCGGAGGAACAATTGGTTTGGAAGATTCGAGTTGAAAAGGAGAGCGAGGATGGACGACGAGGTCAATAAATACGGCGTCTGTGCTTGTTGCTTCAGGCATAAGCTGCGCGACGCGGATGCTAAATCGTCCTCTCAGCAACGGGTTCGAGCGAAACGGAATGGTGAATGGGATGAAGCTGAGAGCAAGGACGCGTCACCTCTTTCGATTTTGCATGGACTAAAACGGAGCACCGAGAGCAGCACGATGCCTTGAGGTTGGCTCTCAATGCGGCTGTATGCGGCCTGGTAAATTGCAGAGAGTGCTGTAGCGGTGCAGTACGGTGGAAGCCACGGTCCAATTCTTCAGTTTTGGCACCCACCCTTCAGTTTGAAATTGCTGGAACAGGAAACCATTCAAGTCCTTTTCAACCAATCACAGAAGCGAAAACGGAGAGATGATGCATGGTACAATCAACTTCGAATTATAGTATGCACAGGCCACCATGAAGGACCTCCACTAAAAGTGCTTCTAGGATTCTAAGCTTCTAGCATCTATAAGGTGTTAGGATAATATACCGTATATGCTCCTGCCTAGTTGGCTTCCCAACCATGGCTGGGTATGGAAACTGCAGCCTGCTGCATGCTGCCTTGGACGGAGGTAAATGGACGCACACGTACCACCATCCATCCCGTTGTGCCATGTATATACTGTCACCTTTCCGCTGCTGCTGCTGCTGCCTACACAGATGTCCTATGCAGCTTCTTAGCTCGAGAAATGAAATTATTTTCACTTCTCAGCTTGTTCCGCTCATTCCTGAAATCCTGTAAACCCCTCCAGGGGCCTCCAATCCACCAGCTTCATCACCTCCAGCTCAGCAGCCTGCAGGCGCTTTGCTGGCACGCGGGCAACTGCTGCCACGTCAGACGCCCTAGGCAGCGTCTTCTGGTTGTCGTCTAGCTTAGCGGCCGTCCACATGCACGCCGCTAGCGTCACCCTCAGCGAGTCGGCTGCCACCCGGCCAGGCTGGAGCTGTCGCAGAACCTTCTGAAAGATGTGAAACGCCAGATCAGACACGTGCGGCCCACGAAGCGCCAGCCTGGCATACCAGGAGGAAAGAACGCGCTTTAGCCGGGCAGCTGCAAGCTGCCCAAGAACATTCCGACCCTGCCCGTTCGCACAGCTTCCCCCCAGAACGTTCTGCGCCTGACCCGCTACCTGCTCTTCCTGCCGCTGTCGCTTTCCCGTGGAGGCGTCAGGTACCGTTTGATTCTCGTTACAGAGGGATTCGTTTAGATCCGGAACGACACCCGCTGCGTCGGCAACCACGCGAGCCTGGGTGAGTGCGGGCTGCTGTTGCGAAGGCGTTACAACACCACTTTCTGTCGCTACTTCGCTCGGTGTTGCCGTTGGGAACAGCTGGAGGGTCTCCGGTGGCGAAGAGGAGGAGGAAGAGGAGGATAAGGGGCAATGGTGCTGTCCCTGATTGGCTGTACCCAGGCTGTTTTGCGACAGGGTTGTTCCTGCGAGTAGCAGCGAAGGGAGCTGCTGCTGCTGTTGCTGCTGCTGAGATGGCATCTGCGAAAGTTTTGCGTGGGGCGGGTACTGGGAAAACGCCAAGAGATCTTCCGAGTTGGCCTTGTGACGCTTGGCGGGAATCTGCGATTCGGGAGCGACGTTCGACGGGGGCGAAGGGACGAACGCAGAGCTAGAAAGGGCGGCTGCGTATGTATGGAGGGGGAGAAACGACGCAGCCATGCTCGCGCTCATCGCGCACGGTGTGTGGAAAACCGCGTTTCCGGTAATGCCGCTAACCGCGCCGACGGCTAGACACGAATCGCACAGAACCTGCGTCTGCGCCGCAGCGGCGGGTTGATGGAACGGCGAGGGCGCCTCCCAGCTGGTGGGGCTGCTGCAGAGCGCGCAGAGCAGGTGGCGCGAGTGGCGGAGCACGATGAAGTTAGCAGAGTGCACTGCCGCGTCGCACGTTGCACAGAGGAACGCGGAATCCGCGTCGCAGCGGAGAGCGGCCGGCTGGGTGCACAGCTCGCAGGAGCGGTGCGAGGGAGAGGCGCGGAGCGACGCAGTTGAGTGCTGGTGATGGAGCTGGGGAAAGGGGAGAGAGCTAAGCGTAGGAGGCATTGCTAGGAAGGGTTGCGACAAGCCGTGGCAGAAGGGATTTGTTGCGAGAGAAGCCATGTCTGACGCTGGGAGGATAGGAATCGAGACCGGTATTTGGAAGGCCATATCGAGAGCGTTGGTGGAAAATGTGCCGTGGATAAAAGCGGGACGGGATTGTGAAGAAATATGGGGCACAGAAGCTTATCAACACCAGTTACTGACCGCTTGCCACAAAAGTAAAGTGTAGTGCGAAGAATAGGGAATGTGAGGTGAGGTGGCGAGCGACGGTGGGGCGTGGGACGGCGTGTGCAAGGGGCGATGCAAACTGCTCGCTGGTTCCGACCAAGTTGCGGTTGTGAGCTTTGTGAGAAAGGCTGCTGTGCGTATGTAGTCGCGAGCGCGAGAGAAGAGGATGGTTTGGTTTAGTTGGGAATGCAAGGCGCAGAGCGACCACGCGGAGGGAAAGAAACGAGGGCGAGGGAGGAGTGAGAAGGGAAGGCATGGGATGGGTCGTTAAGCATGTGGCTGCTCTTCGCTGCTCTGCCCATGATTTCAGCACGTTAGGTCTGGCTGGCAATGTGGTGTAGACTGTAGAGGCGTCATTCCTGCCACCGCCATTTTCCATGTGCAACCATCATCACCAATTTTTCTCCCGTTCCTTTCTTCCTCTCTCAGTCTCCTTAAATTTTGTTTGTTGTGTGACTCTGCTTGCGTGTGTCTTGTTGTGGTGATACGAACCGAAGCGTGATGCACGTTACGGTTGGAGATTAGACCTCTTTTCAAGGAACGGCCCTTCAAGCCACACAGCGTTTCGGCTCTCCACCGAACCTCATCTCCTTCTCCCTTTCTCATTCGTCCACGGCAGGTCCACCTCGGCTCGCTGGGCTCATGTTTCGTGTGCTGCCTGCTGATGTGGCTCCTGCTTCATGTGACCACTCTTCCCAGATGGCTGCATCCTCCCCCTTCTACGCGGACTTCGTGGAAAAATACAGCTGGGTCACTGTAAAGATGCTTGGCTGATGTCATACGTCGCCTTCACAACCAGTCTCCTCCCTCGCTGACTCGGTGGTGCTGAGCACTTCTGCCACATCACCATAGCTACTGAGGACTTGTGTTACGTGGCCGCGCCGCTACTTTGCCTGTTAGACCTGTGTGGCTTAGGGAATGTGGAAACCCGAGAAAACTACGCGAAACTCGATCATGAGAAATTGAGGGCCATTCGAAACGCGTCTCGGAGCTTGGTGGGAGGTTTAGCTCGACCTAGATACTGGCCACACAAGCAAGACCAATCGGGTCCGTCCACCCTTGTGTGGATGGCTCGATGCACTTTTGTGACCTTCCAGAGAGCCGAAGCTTATGCCTGTTCCTCTGGGACCGCAGACGCGGAGGATTCTGCTTAGCCGTGTCGCTTTCCGGAAACTTGGGGGTCGGACGAATGGTTTCGCAGTATATCACGTGGAGCGCTACCGTATTTCTCGACTGGCTTTTCTTGTTGAGTGGTTGGTGCTGAGGTGGCCCTTGTTTAGTTTGACAGGAATGGATGAAGCCTGTGAACCTGGCTAGGACTCAACAACCAAGGTTCTTCCCCGAAGGGCAGGGATATTCACGTGGGCTTGACGACAGAATATCAGATGCCAGATCATGTAGTAAGTTTTCATATTCTTGGGCAGAGCAGTTAACGAATTTACATAGAAATAACTATGTTTTCCATACGAGCCCCATTCCACAAATTTACTTATTTTCACGAGCCAGAAAAGTTCAGATTACTAAGAAGTCACATCTGACGTCACGCAAGATTTTGCTCAAGTGACACGTGGTTTAAACCAATTATACTTTGATATGAACAAGAATCACGTGAAATTGCAATCAGCCCGACAAGATGGTCGAATCGAACAAGGTTGCCTAAATCTGTCGCAATCATGAGTACGAATGGCACTCGAAAAACTTGACAGTGTGTCAAACAGCTAACTTTTCCTTTGATCGCGGGCAGCTCATTCCCAGTGCAGAGAAACAGCATCACAAACAACCCAAACTACCAGCCAGGAGCTGGGCGCAATCCTGAAGTTCTTGCAACAACGACTGCCCGAAATCGAATCCGCACAATTCGTGCGCGAACGAATGCATCGCCCCTCCACACTACACAATCCACTCTCAATCCAAGCCAGCTTCTTCGACATGGGAGCTTCCTTAATTACAATGCAGTAACCCAAACTTTCCATACAAAATGAAATTAAAACAAAGATATACCCCACCATTCGGTCATAAAAAAAATCTCCAACCAAGGACGATGTTATAGGAGCACAGGGATGCAAAGACCATCATGAGCCAGTTGTACGTTTATTTCTTCCCTGCAGGACCAGAAAGGGGCATACAAGTGAGCCAAGTTAGTCGCATAAATGCCAGAACCACTAACATCACATGTAGATGTGGTATGGCGGGGAGTAATGGCACGTACTTGGTGGACCATTCGCGAAGCAGTAAATTGACTTTGTGGTGGTCAAACTCATGAGTCATGCCAACTATTAAGGCATTCTTTGGTCTCAAACTTCGGATTGCATCCAGGGTCTTGTAGGCATGATGTGGAGTGGTACAGGGAAAGGAGTGGCAATATGAAAACAAAGAAAAAAAAGGGGGAGTGGTTACACTTAAGGAAACTGTGGGACAAGCAAAATAATATAAAAGGGCATAACATCAATAGCTTCTGAAGATAAAGACGGATGTGATGGGAGTAATGAATTATTCATGAAAACGAGGCAAGCACCTGAGGAAGATGAAAATGAGTTGCATGCGGGTGATCCTGCACATTCATCCCACAAGGCCGTGAGATTGTGGATTATGTTACAAAGAGAAAAAAGGACCCTCAAGAAACAGCAAAGCACAATCTTCAATCCACAAATACTGGAAAAGTTCATGGCAAAAAATAATAAGTCAATGCAAGAACAGAAGGATGTGGCACATGCGAGAAGGATAAACGGCCATGAGCACATACAAAATAGAGGGAGTCAATAACGAGAATGTGAATTCGACCCAGAAGCTGCTGCCTGGCTTTCAAGTCTGAATAAGCAGACGGTGCAGGAAGGGAGGGAAAAACGGGCAGGAGAGAGGAAGGAGAGAGGCAGCGGAGAGCATGCATAGGAGAGCATCCTTGTGAGATCATGCATGTGAGTGGTAATGCCAGAAAATACAGAGAGCATGGATGGCGAACGTGTGGAGTGTGGAGGGTAGGTGGGTCATACAGGCGGGCGTGGTGTCTGGGATCCTTGGGACGTCTGACATGTACACCACACACTGGGCTACTTGGCTGGCAGCTGTATTAGAAAAAAACTTGTGCCAAATCTCGAAAACACTTTGCCACAAAAAGAGCCTCCTTGCATACGTACAGGCGAGCGTGGTGTCGGGGATCCTTGAGACATCTGACATGTACACCACACGCTCATGGCTGCCAAACTCAAACCCCAATGCTATGTAGTCCTCCCCATGCTCCACCTGCAGAGCATGTTATATGGCAGTTATGGTGCCGAATGGATAGGGCATGGTGCAATTTTAAGAATGGTGCAGAATGGATAGTGCATGGTACGAACAAAAATAAAATGGTGGAGACTATATAGTGCCTGGTACATAGAAAAGTATGGTGCAGAATGGATAATGCCGAGCGGAAATGATTCATGTGAACCATACAGGAAGGGGAGTGACTGTCAGACCAGCCGCATTGAAGGGAGCAACAACACTCTGTTGAATGATCTGCCAGTCGATTCGAGACACCCGCCGAGATACTTTCTTCACGCCCCGTTCTCCTCCCTCCGTCACCCCCCCTGCACCTGCTGTTCTTCCCTCAAGTGAACTATTCAGGACCACCCCACACGGCTGATCACCAGTGGCAGCAGCAGTGGCAGAAGTGGCAGCGGCAGCGGCGGCAGCAGCAGGCGGGCCAGCGAAGGGAGGTTGGAGCGAGGGAGCAGGGCGAGGGGGCGTGAGAGTGAGGTAGGGGAATTTGTCTCGAACGCTGTTTGTGGATGGGGACAGGCGGGACGGAGGGGACGATGGGGCTAGAGAGGTGAGTGCAACTGGGCGGAAAGGGAGCGAGGGACCAGGAGAGAGACAGACGAATGGGCATCGGTGACATCGAGAAGGGAAAAGAGGGCAGGCACAGAAACTCATGAACGTCATGAGTGCGGGAGAACGCAAGTAGATCAATTCTCAAAATGGGTGAAAAATCAAACATTGGAAGAGGGGGGAGAACACAAATACGGGCCCATGCAGCTGGCCATGCAGTGGAGCTGCTCGCACCTGGCCATGCCATAGCTAGCAACGAGGGAGAAGGCGAGGTCACCCACCTGGCCATGCAGCGGCGGGAGAGGAAGACGGAGAGCGGCTCCACATGGTCTGCTGCATGGCGGGGGAAGCGCTGCAGCCCTCTGACGTCATCCAGGCCCAGTATGGCGTCAGCATGCTCATGTGTGAGAATTAGCTGTAGTGAGAAGGAGGGGGGAGAGGAGAAAGTTGGGGGGGAGAGGGAGGGGAGAGGTGGGGGAGAAAGGGGACGGGGGACAAGGCGAGAGGGAATAATCGGGAAGGGGAATGGGGAGGAAAGAGAGGTAATGGGGTGGGACGGGAGGAACATTGTGCAGATTCAGTAGGGTTGACTTAGGAAAGAGCGGGATTGAGAGAGGAAAAGGTAACTCAGGATGGGCAATAGAGGGTATCTTGCATCCATAACCCATTCAACGGTGGGTATCCTGCAGCCATACCGCGTCAATGGTGGGTATCTTGCAGCGCACGAACCACCGCAGCACCTGCTCCCGAAAGCACTTGCCCGCATCAATCTGGATGTGCCGCCATTCCTCGCCAGGAGACAAATCCAAGCTAACGGAATCCGTCAGGTTGACTGAGCCCGTCAGCTTAACGGTATCCGTCAGGAGAGCGGAATCGCCACCTCAGCCATCAGCCGCCTCTCTGGAACTCGGCTGGGCTACCCCGTTGGAATCACAGCCCTCGTCTGAGAGGTCACTGCGTACAGTCACGGTTCCATCCGCTGTATAAGACCGGCACCGGTATCGGATCATAAGCGACGGGTTGCATCTGCAGGAGTGGAAGAATCAAATGCATGTACTGATTGCATGTGACAAGCAGAATGCATGTGACAAGCAGAATGCATGTGGTGAAAGGCTTTCAGTGAAAGACACTTCTTGGCATCCTTGAATGCGAGACGGATCAGAAGGGGAACGATAAACGGTTACAACCAGCTCTCCCTGTTACCAACAAGCACTTCGCGAATCAAACTCGCGGACGAGGCAACGAAGTACCGGAAGCCAGCGTTTCGCTCGTTACCGGTAATTCGGGTTTCGTTCCGGCGGTTCCGCGAGCGCCTTGTGGCACACGGCACACGGCGGGTCTGTCGGTTGTGTGACGCAGAGGGGGGTCGGGACTCCCGTCGACGACCCCGTTCCTAAAAATATGATCTCCGACAACCCGCTACTGGAGCGCTCGTTACTGAAGCGTGATGCCATGGAGGAACGTTAGTGCCAAAGCACTACTACGCACGACTAGCAAATGCCAAAAAACGTAAACAACGCAATCAGAATGAAGCACCCTTCACGAAACGCGCGTCAGTCATGCCACTGATACTTCTTTCCGAGCAGATTATCAATGACTGGACTGGATAAATCGAAATACCTCTGAGAACCGAAACCAAACTCCAACACTTCTTTGGCGATCCCAAGCAAGCGATCATCCCCGTTTGTGAGGTCCTTTCCTGTGTGCGAAGATGTAATTCACTCTAAGTTTACATTTTCAGGCCTCAGTTCTAGCATTACAGGTCAGCATTATCAAAGGATCGATAGATGTACGGTCTTAGTGATGGATACTATTTAGTTCGTTCTAGCAATCTCGAACCTTTCAGGGCATAAGAAATGCCCTATTTGGTTTACACAACACCCGCTTCTCTATATCTCTCGGCCTTTACCGGTACTAGTCTCCACCACTTCCCTCTTCTTGGTCCCACTTTCACCTCACCCATTGCCGCCTCCTCCCTGCTGCCGCCCCCCCTCCCCCTCCTCCCTGTGTTCCCTCCCTCCTCACTCTCATTCGCTGCTGAAGTGTCATGCCCTGATTCGCTCCTGTGGGAGGGGCGATGGGCGAGAGAGAGGATATATACAACCTCGCAATGAAAACAAGCACGAACGCGGGCAATATGAGCACCTCAACGTTTCTGAGGCCAAGCCACTATTTCGCAATCAACGGCATCCACTATTTCCGAGTATCCTCGCCCTCACAGCTCTCATCTCACCTGATTTCCACGCCATTGGCTGGGAACTTGCTGCATCCATCGCCCCATCCCCTCCTTCCTTTTCTTCGCCTGCTCCTCCCAAACTCCCCCTCCCTTCTGATCCTGCTTCTCCTCCGTCTCCCCCTCCTGCCCCCACACGCCCATCGTCTGGCCTTGCACCAGGTGTTGCTGCTGTTCTTTCTCCTAAAGACCCTCCGACCCTCCCAACACTTCCTGAACCTCTGCTCCATCCCCCCTTCACGGGCGACCCTGCTTGTACGCTCGATCCTCCTCCTCTCCCTGCCTCCTCCCCACAAATATGTGCTTTCCCCTCCTCTCTTCCCCTGCCTTCCACTGCTGCTCCTCCTGCCTCTCTCCCATCTCCTGCCCCTGCTTCTACCCCCTCCCCTGCTTTGTCTCCTGCTCCATCCCTCACATCTCCTCCACCCCTTCTCCTCGAACCTATCCCCCAACCCTCGTCCGAACTCCACCCCGCAATCGGCGCCTCCTCATCCAAACTCGGCAGGCCCTTCCGAGCCTTCTCATACCGAGCCACGTCGGTTCGGGCGGGGGTCGGGCCAAGCAGCAGCGGGTCAGGTTCGGAGCGCTGGCTCTGAGTGCTGCTGCTGGGGGTGCGGTCTAGAGAAAGGGGGGTGATGACCCCAGGGGAAGGGACAGAGGAGGCATGGGAGTAGGCAGAAGAAGGGAGGGAGATGATGTGGGGGGAAGAGGCAGGAGATTCAGATCCTACACTAACACCAGTGGCTGCTCCAGCTGCTCCTGCTGCTCCAACCGCCCCCTCTGCTGCTCTCCTTCCAGTACCTCTCGCTGCTGCTGCCATTGCTGCGGCTTCCTCAATAGCTTCTGCTGCTGTCCCCCTTCCTCGCGCCTCTATGCCTTCTCTCCCTGCTGCGGCTGTTGTTCCCACCTGAGCAGTTCCAGAAACCCCCTCTGCTCTTCTCACATCTGGCTGCAGCTCCAGCGAGGGCGAATTCCCCGTGGTAGCACCTGAAAGCGAGGAGTACGCGGCGGTGGAGTGCGGTGGCGGGTCCCTCAGGTAGTTCTGCTGCAGCTGCATCAGCTGAGCCTTGGCTCGCCGCAGCTTCTCCAGCACACTGGGACTGCCACCCCCATTACCAGAACTCCCACCTCCCACCCCAGAACTCCCACCCCCCACTCCAGAACTGCCATTTCCCATCCCTCCCCCACTCCTTCCCACACCTGACACTCCATCCACTCCTCCCACTCCACCTCGCCCTGCAGAAGCACCCTCTCCCAACGCCAACCTATCCCTGCCGGCGCCACTCCCCTCCGCCGCTGCTGCTTCTGCCGTTGCCCCTGCAGCCTTCTTGACCGTTTCAAAGAAGAGGGCCGTGCGGGCAGCACGAGCAGGCGAGGGCGAGGCAGAGGGAGACGGCCAGTACCCCACTCCACCTGATGCTGCTGCAGCCGACGCCCCTGCCGCGGCGTTTATCGAGGACGGCTTTATGGGGGACAGAGCAGACGAGGGGGGGCGGGCAGGGGAACCTGAGCCGGCTCCTGCTACTGCTGCCGCTGCTGCTGCCTTGAATGGGCTTCCAAACGCTGCTGTGCTGGGGATGGTATCAGCAACATCATATGAACCCTTGGTCATTTCTGCACTAGTCCCTGCAGTGATCTCCCGCTCCCGCTCCCTTGCCCCTCTACTCCAAGCCCTCATGGGTGAGGGAGTTCCCACACTCGCCCCTGCCTCTCCTCCTGTTGCCCTCACACTCGCCCCTCCCTCTCCTCCTGCTGTTCCCACACCCAGCCTTCCCTCCCCTCCTGCATCCCCCACACTCGCACCTCCTACTGCTCCTGATGCTCCCTCCACTCCTCCCACAAGCCCTTGCAGCCTCACCACCCCTTCCCCTGCTCCTTCCTCTGCCTCTTGCTCCCAGCTCCTACCCACCCCTGCTGTTGTTCCACTACCTCCCGCTTCCCATTCCGGATTCACATTTCCTCCCGTGTCTCTCTCGCCTTCCCACCCTCCCATTCCACCCTGCTCCTCCCCACTAATCCTCTCGCCTACCCACGCTCCTGCTTCTCTGCCCTCCTCCTCCCCACTACCCCCTTCGCCCGACCCCCCTCCCAGCTCGCTACACTCCTCCCCCCTGACCCGCTCGCCCTTGAGATCGTACACAGCCACGAGGTGGTGGGACGAGTGGCAGGGGCGCAGCACAGGCGCCAGGCGGGGGGGCAGGGGGAGGGGAGAGTGTGCGGGCAGGGGAGAGGATAGGGCGGAAAGTTCAGACGGGGGTAGGAGGAGGGGTGAGGACGCGGGAGGGGGAGAGGAGAGACCGGCGGGGTCAGTAGGAGGGAAGAGGGAGGAGGAGGGGTTGGATGGAAGCATGGGAAGGGTGGATTGCTGTTCAGTGCTGGTGATGGAGAGGAGGGACGGAGAAGCAGCAGCTGCTGCTGTTGCTATTGCTGCTGGGGCTGGTTCAGCTGTTGCTGCTGCAGTGCTCGCATTGTGCGCAGCGGTGGGCAGCTGTGCCTCTCTTGCAGCAGCAGCAGCAGGAGCACTGGGCTGTGACTTGGCTGGAGGAGCAGCAGGAGCTGATGCATCACTGGCCGCATGTGCGTGCTCCTGTTGATGTTGATATCGATGCTCATGCTCATGCTCATGCTCATGCTCATGCTCATGCTCATGCTCATGCTCATGCTCATGCTCATGCTCATGCTCATGCTCATGCTCATGCTCATGCTCATGCTCATGCTCATGCTCATGCTCATGCTCATGCTCATGCTCATGCTCATGCTCATGCTCATGCTCATGCTCATGCTCATGCTCATGCTCATGCTCATGCTCATGCTCATGCTCATGCTCATGCTCATGCTCATGCTCATGCTCATGCTCATGCTCATGCTCATGCTCTATGCTCATGCTCATCTCATGCTCATGCTCATGCTCATGCTCATGCTCATGCTCATGCTCATGCTCATGCTCATGCTCATGCTCATGCTCATGCTCATGATCATGCTCATGCTCATGCTCATGCTCATGCTCATGCTCATGCTCATGCTCATGCTCATGCTCATGCTCATGCTCATGCTCATGCTCATGCTCATCCTCCTGCTCCTGATCCTGCCCATGCTCGTAATTGTGCTGGTGTTGATGCTGAACGGGCAGAAGGCCGTGGCGTTGCATGAATGCGGTGCGTGCAGCGATGAGAGCCGAGGCGGGCTGCGAGCAATGGGGGACAACAAGATGAGGAGGGAGGGAGATAGGCGCCTCTGAAACAGGTTCAAGGAGGTTCACAGTGCAACAAGGAGGCACATGGCACATGGCACATGGCATGAGCCACGTGGAACATGGCAGTCCTGCATGTCACACATTACATTCTGATCTTACCCACCCATTCACCTGAGCATCACATTTGTCCGTCAGGTCAAAGAGCAGCAATGCCACAGGCACATGGTGCGTTGTTTTGGATAATCCTCGAGACCCACCTGAGCATCACCCTTGTCCGTCAGGTCGAACAGCCACAGTGGCACAGACACATGGTGTTTTGGGGAGGGGGATTCTCAAGAGCACCCTGCAGCCACTCACGTTACATGGTAACCAGCTACTCACCTGAGCATCGCACTTGTCTGCCAGGTCGAACAGCTGCAGCGCCACAGGCACGTGCCCATCAGCCTCTGCCATCTCCACCTGCTGCAGCCAGTGCCACGCCGACGACAACCCCCCTGCCCCCCCTCCCCCTGCTCCCTCTGCTCCCCCTCTCCCTCTCCCCCCTCCTCCCCCTCCTCCCATGCTACCTCCTTCCTCTCCTCCCCTGGCAGGCAACAACCCTCCTCCCACCGACCCAGCATCAGAGGGAGCTGCTCCCTGCACTGCCTGCACTGCTTGCACGGGGTGCAGTAGAGCCTCCTCTCGCAGCATCTTCAGAGCACGTACGTCCTCCTCACTCCATTCCTCCTCCTCCTCCTCCCCTCCCTCTCCCACCCCCTCACTCACTCCCTCACTCATACCCTCGTTTGCCCCCTCACTCACGCCTGCACTCATTCCCTCTCTCGCTCCCTCACTTCCCCACCCTGCGTCCACCATCTCACCTTTGCTCTCTGCTCTCTGCACCTTCTCAGTCCCCTCCGGATCCTCCCCTCCCTCACTCACGCCTGTGCCTCCCCAACCCGCCTCCACCGTCTCCCCCTCGCCCTCTCCACTCTGCACCTTCTCACGAGCCTCTAGCGCCACTACCTGCTGCCGTCGCTCATCGCTCACACCACCCTCCCACATGTTCTCCTCTCGGCCCTCACCTCTACCTTGGGCACCGATCGCAGTGCTACCAGCAGCAGCAGCAACACTGGCACTACCAGCAGCGGCAGCAGCGGTGGAGGCATCTGCACTGCTGTCGTCCCTCCACAACTCCCCTCCATACTCTTCCACCTCTCCTCCCCCCTCACTCCCAAGGCCTCCCTCACTCTCCCCTTCCTCCCGTCCACTCTCACTCTCCCCCTCTTCCTTTCCACCCTCCCACCGCTGCTCCATCCCCTCACCCCCCACCTCCCACCTGCCTCGCCCCCTCATCCCCATTCCCCCAACCCTCTCTTCCCCCCGTCCCCCCATCGTCACCCCCATCTCGCCATCTCCCATTCCGCTCCTGCCTCCCCCGAACTCCCTCCTGCCGGCTTCCATCTCCCCCCCGCCTCCCCCAATCTCCCCCCGACCTCCCCCAATCCCCCCCCGGCCGCCCCCAGCCTCCCCCTGGCCGCCCCCCATGAGCAGCAGCAGCTCGTGGCGGAGGGCAGCAGCGTCCACGGGCATTCTCCCCGCCGCCAGCGCCTGCTCTAACTGCCTCAGACTCTGCTGCACCGCGCTCTCTTCCCCCTTGCCCCCTTCCTCCTCCCCTGTACCTGCCCTCTCGCCCCCCTCCCCTGGCTCCGCCCCTGCCTCCCCCCTCTCGCCTCTCTTTCCCCCCCTCCCCACTTCCCTCCTCTCCCCATCCCTCACCTCCACACCCGCCGCTCTTGCTCCCCCTCTCCTGCCGCCACCTCGCCCGGGCAGCTCCTGAATCTTTTCCCTCTGCCCGGACGCGTCTACCTGCCCGTCACCCTCTAGAAGCCCCCCAAAGTCATTGAGAGTGTGGGGGAAGCCAAAGAGGGAGAGGGCCACAGCCCTTGCTTCCTCTTCATAGTCACACGCTTCATCCTCCTCCCCCTCCGCCTCCCTCCCTCCCTTGTCTCCCCTTCCTCCCTTCTCTCCTTTATCTTCCCTCCCGCCTGCCCCTCCCGTCTCTCCCGTCTCTCCCATCTCCCCCTTCCCGTCCGCGCCTACAGCCCTCTGACTGTCCCTGGCGCTGCTTCGCTGCTCTCCACTTAACCTTGAATCAGCAGCCGCCGCTGCTGCAGCAGCAGCAGAAGCACCAGTGCTCTCTGCCCCACTATTTCCTCCCATCCCCTGCACCCCTTTCTCCTCTCCCCCACCCTGACCCACCTCCCTCTCCCCTTCCCCATGCCTCTCCCCCTCCCCTTCCCGCTCCCCATTCCGCTCCCCCTCCCCCTGCCTCTCCTCTCCATCCGGCTGTAGCGTGGCGAGGGTGCGAAACAGGAAGTCGCCCCCTCCTCTGTAGCGGTAGGCTGTAGCCGCCCGACCCAAGGCCCCAGGCTTGAACACAGCTTCGACCAGGCTTGGGGGGAGAAGACCAACCTTGGCAGCAGCTGCAGCAGCATCAGAATCAGCAGCAGCGGATTCGCCAGCGCCATCAGCAGCAGCGGATTCGCCAGCGCCATCAGCAGCACTAGCCCGATCACTACCAGCAACACGCGCAGCGCCTTCAGTAGCACCTTCCCCCCTGCCGCCTCCCTCCCCTGCTTTCAGCACCTTGGTCCGACACAGAATACCCTTAGCGGACCTGCTTAGAAGGGGACCTCCATCTGCCCCATCCACTGCACCAGCAGCGCTGGTAGACCCAGCAGCAGCAGCAGGGGTGGCAGGGGTGGCAGGGGTGGCAGGGCCGGCAGTAGCAGTGAATAGGCTGTCCTTAAGGGGGGTAGCAGAGTCGGCCTCCTTTAGCCGTCTGAGCAGCCCAGCGCGCAGAGCAGCAGGCAGGGGTGCGAAGGGGTCGCCAGGCGGACTGGTGGGGAGCAGGGCGTGTGACTGGGGGTGTGCGGGCGAGAGCAGCTGCGAGTGGGGATGCGTGTGTGCGTGAGCAGTGTGCGTGTGAGCAGTGTGAGAATGAGAGGTGTGCAGAACGGTGGTGGGGCTCGATGGGTGAATTGGTGTGTGGGGATGAGTAACGCTGTGCTGGTGGTAAGCCATGGCATGGTGCCCCTTGGCTTTATGTGCAGGCGGCAGCAGGTCAGACGGGGCGCCCATGGCATGTGGCTTGAGATCGGCTGGTTCCGATGCATACACATGCAGGGGAACTGCTGTAGCAGCAGCAGCAGCATCACCAGATGCACTCACATCCATGGGAACCGCAGCAGCAGCAGCAGCAGCAGCAGCACCACCACCGTCTGATGCACCTGCGCCGTTCGAGAGCCCTCTACTGCGCTCATTCACATCATTGGATGGACTGGCATGGCGTTGCCCATCCATCCCACTGCTGTAACCACCATCACCAACCCCACCACCACCCCGCGCACCCTCCATTCGCTGCTCTGCTTCTACCCGCCTAAGCCCCTCCTCATACAGCCTCTGCCTCTCCTCCAACCTCTCACTCCTCTCCCTGTACCCCCCCTCTTCCTGATCCTCAGTTCCTGTCACTGCTTCCCTGCGCTCCTTCCCGCTAGCATGCACGTCCGCATGCTCTAATAGTTCCACCTGAGCTTCCACCTGAGGTTTCACCTGAAGCAGCCCCAGCCGCTGCATCCAAGGGTCGTCTTCGTTTTCATGCACCTGCTGCCCCACATCCCTCCCCTCCGCAGCCCACCTGTCTACCTTCGACAAGTCCCTCCCTTCCTCCCTCCTCGCCCACCTCATTTCTTCTCCCTCTCCTCCCACCCCCTCTCCCCACCTCTCTCCTTGCCCGTCCGCCCTCTCCCCATCCCCTTCCACCACCTCTTCAATCTCCGATGTCCCTCTCCTCCCTTTCGACCAGCCACCTAAGGCCCCTCCTGCTCGCCCCCCTCTCCTCCCTTCGGGCCCTTTCATCACTTCTCCCGCCCTCTCCTCCTCAGCGCCGTCCTTCCACATCCTCTCCCCCTCCCACTCCCCCTCCCTCTCCCCTGCTTTCTCCTCTCCCCCCACCCCTCCTCTTCTCCCCTTCCCTCCCCCACCACCCACCCCGCCTGCACCCTCCTCTCCCCCCAACCCGCCCTCACTATACGTGTTCAGGGAGAGAGGCACGAACGAGACGAGGGACGGAGCCACGTCAGCAGCGGACGTGGATTGAACGGGGGCGGATGGTGCTGCAGGCGGCTGTTGCTCAGCTGATGCATGCGAGGGAATAGAGAGGGACTTATGCGACAACATGGAGAGGGAGTTGTGCGACACGGAGAGGGAGGAGTCAGACCTCAGCCGTGCTCCCGCCACTATCTCGTGAAACGGCACCTCACTCACTCCATCCCCCTCCTCCATCCCATCCCTCTGCTCCCCTCCCATCGCCTCGCCTCCCCCCCTCGGGCCCCCCGTTTCCTCCCACTGCTCCTGTCTACCTCTGCTGCTCATCCGCGCAAGGCCACTCTCTGCATGCCGCTTGGACCGCGTGCCCCGCGCGTGCTGCTCCTCCTCGTCCTCTTCCCCGGGCTTGCGTGGCAGGGAGAAGCGGTTCAGAGCGGAGGGCGTCCTGCGCAGCAGGTAGGCTGCTGGCGGCGGGGCGTTGTGCTGCTGCTGCTGTTGCTGGTGGGAGGGGCCTTGGTAGGCTTGGTGCTGCGTCTGCTGCTGCTGCTGCTGGGAAGCGTGTGGTTGGCGGGAGAGAGGGTAGTGCTGCTGCGAGTCACGTGGGGGGGCATCAGAGCGCTGGTCAGAAACAGTGTGGTGCGCGTGGGGGTGAGACCGGGGCAACAGGCACGCGGGATCGTGGGGGTGCGAGGGGAGGTGAGGGGGAAACATGGTGGGGGAGGAGTCACTCCCGCAGCTGCCATACCCCCCATACCCAGCATATCTGGCATAGTCAGTGTTTGGAAGGTACGTTTGGGGGAGGGGCAGTGGGGAGGACGCGTCAATGTGGCTGTCGGAACTCGCACCATCAGGGGACAACAACCCCCCTTGCCGCCCATCAGGGGACAACCCTCCCTGGCCCCTTTCAGGGGACAGCAACCCCCCTTGCTGCTCGTCCGGGGATAACCCGCCCTGCTTCCCTTCAGGAACCACCACCCTCCGCTCACCATCTCGAGCCACCTCTTGTTGCTCACTCTCTCGAAACGCCTCTCTCTCCTTCCTTCCTTTGCCAGCCACCGGAGTGCTGTAGTAGTTCCCTTCGGGCCTCAGATACGGATTCTCCTCTGGACTCACCCACCCCTCCTCCCACCCACTTTCCGCTGCAGCCCCTACACCTCCCCCTCTGCTGCTGGGGCCAACGCCACCGCTGCTACCAACGCCGCTGCTACCACCGCCGCCAGTCCTTGCTACATCTGCATCCCCACCAGCCCGCGCCTTCCTGCGCTGCCGCCGTTCCTCCGCAGGTTTCCTTTTCTCCGCGCTGGCAGCTTGAAAGCTGTCGAGGTAAGCGGCACCAGGCACGTAGTACGGATCACTGCTGGGGTCCCTGCCCGCGTTACCCCCGCTATAAGCTGAAAGTGGTGGAATAGATGGAGGATTCTTTGTTTCCCTACTCGAACGCTCTACAGGCTCTATCGAGGATCCAGTAAGGTTGTCCACGTGTGTACCCGCTATAAGGTCTCGCTGATTCGATTCCACACGCTGGTGTCGTGCCGGTTCGCCTGAAAACAAATCCGCGTTACTAGCAATCTCCGCTTGTGCCTTAGCGTGCGTCCTCTCTCTCGCGCCAGCCACCAGCTCACGAAACGACACCAGCTCTCTCGTTGCAGGAGCGGGATAATCCCATACCTTCGCCTCAGGCTCGGGCGCCCTGGGTCGGACCGGACCTGGAGAACTGCTTCGGAAGTGCGGCCTAGTGAAAAATCCCGTCACCCTCACAGCAGCCGCGGAAAAAGGACCTGCGGAGCCTGCGCCTGCGCTGGCAGCGGCGGCGGGGACACCGCCCCCCCGGTCGGGGGCAGGGCCGGGGGAAGGGGGTTGGCGCGGGGAGTCTTGCGCGTCGGCGGAGAACCAGCGCCAGGGGCGGTGCGGGGAGCGCGACCGAGAACGGGAGCGGGAGCGCGTCCCAGAGGGGGAGGCGGAGCGCGCGGGATTGGGGGAGCGGGAACGTGGGCGGAAGTTGAGAAAGGAGATGGGAATGGCGAGGGGCGGAGGGACGTTGGGGGGAGGTGCCGGGGGAGGGGTGGTTCGGGCGAGACTAGGAGCACGGGAGGTGGGAGGGTTGAACTCCTGATAGCTGCGCGATGGTGGGGGGAGGAGGAAAGACACGAGAGCAACGGGGACAGGCACAGGGGTAAGGCCACTTGGGACAGGCGGGACAGGCGAAAGAGGCGGGACAGGCGAAAGAGGCGGGACAGGCGAGACAGGTGGGACGGGCACAGAAATGACAGGAAAACGAAACAAGTGTCCTCCCACACCTAGAATCCCATACCCGCATATAAGTCGCGTTTCCGTCGCAGACTCGTCGCATCCTGTCGACGCACGCACCTGTGTCGCTTCCGCCTTCTCGACATGTCTGGACCATCACCCTCGCGTTGAGAATCGCCACGTGGAGACTGCTTGCGCTGGCCGTCCCATCCTTGCATGCCACGCGAAGCCACCCTTTCACCAACTCCGCTTTCGCGAGGCCAATCGGGCTCATCTCTAACCCTACTGCGTCGCCGCGCTGCGTCAATCGATAAGTTAGGGCGATCCGGCACGTCACGAGAGAGCGGCCATCCGAAAGACGACGGCTCCCCAGGGCCGATAGATCCTTGGCTAATGGAATCCGCTACGATCCCTGCAGCCATTCCTTCCGCGGAACGTAGACGCGCTTCGGCCTATGGTAGCAGCGCAATAACTTGGCTAACAGGGACGGACAGACTCATCTGAGCAGGTTAATGACAGCTCTTGAGCAGCGCAACTAGAGCAGGAAAATGACGGCTCGCAACATATGCTCCCTATCATTCGCACAATACGTGACGCCGTATCACTCACAAGTGTCTTCGTGAGGCCAACAGGGAGCCGCAAGAGTTCATCTACCAGTCAATTCAGGAAAGAATCAAGTCATATTTGGACACAGTGTAGCTACAACCTCTATGTATCCGAGTATACCATCAGACGGCACACTACTAATAAAGCTGCATACTGATATTGCCTGAACACCTGAATACCCAAGTGCCTCGAAAGCTGACTTGCTGAAGCTGAATCCCAGAATCCTCATCCGACACTCTCCAGGTCCCACTCACCACGAGAGTCACGGGGGCCAGCGGAACCACCCTCCAGATCTGCGGTCCCCACCTTTTTCCGGACCAAGCAGATGGGGCGAGCAGACTTGGTCTTGACCAATCAGGTTTGTGGAGCGAGGGGCGTGGCGACCGACGTGCGGTTCGGCAGGTTTGGCAAAGGACGGCGGTGTAGCTTGGTTCGTCGGGTGAAACTGCAAAATCGAACTGCACAAATATAATATTGATTATAATACTTGAAGAGTTCGAAAACGGGTGTTTGGTCTAGTGGCATGATTCTCGCTTAGGGTGCGAGAGGTCCCGAGTTCAATTCTCGGAACACCCCTTCACTCCGGGTCACTTCTTCTTGCAGAACTTAGCCAATGACCATCTCTTTGTCTTGCTTTTGAAAGAGAGGTGGAGCCTAAAACCTTGGTACAGATAGACAAATGGGATTTTAGATCATGTGAATCTTGGTTCTTCTGTTTTGAAGGCACTGCTCTGCAGTCAGAAATCATTGCACATTGTCCTATTATCAACCATTAGCCTGAAACACCATGTATCTCATCATAGCTACAGGGTTAGCCTTGAGGAATCTCTTACTATGCACACCCTCCTGCCCTGCCTTCTCCTTTCCACCGTCTCCCAAATCACCTCCAGAAGCCCCCACGCACAGCCTCTTAGCAGCTGGCTCCTCCCCGCCTGCCCCAGGCTGCTGCTGCTGCTGGTGGTGCTGCTCAGGAGGGCTCCTCCCGAGATAGTCCACCACCTGGTTACCACCACTGCCTGGCGGCCTCTTGTGCTGCCCTGCCGCTGTAGCAGCAGCTTGAGTGTCAACTGTGGTAGGGACAGTCACAGCAGCTGTAGCAGCGGCTGTAGCAGCAGAGCCAGCAGCTGCAAGTGCTTGATGCAGGAGAGGAGGGGAGGTGGAACCAGAGGCGGACTGAAGGGGGAGAACGGGCAGAGAGGGGACAGCTCTACTGTGGTCTAACCCGCCTTGCCTGCCTGCTATGGATGGAACAGCAGCAGCTGTGGCAGCTGCAGCACGGAAGGTTTCCCATCCAGTGCTGTGCCATACTGCCTGTCCTAATCCTGTGCCAGACGCACCGGCCAGCCATGCCGCTTGCCGCTGCTTCTCCATCCGCTCTGCACCATCCACTCCTGCTGCCAGTGTTGCTGCTCCTCCTGTTGGTGCTGGTGGTGCAAGAGTCATCTCACATCCTGATTGAGAGAACGAAGGGGCTACACGCAGGGGGTCGATGGTAGGTAAGGAGGGAAGAGAGGCAGCAGCGGTGCCAGAACCAGACAAACCGGGTGCTGGGAGCGCTTGTGGTGTTGGCAGCGCTTGCAGTGCTGCTGCTGCAATTTCTGGTGCTGGTGCTGCAATTGTCGGTGCGGGTGCTGCCACTGCGGGTGCAGATGCAGCTGCAGCTGCCGCAGCTGCTGCAGCGGCCATCGCAGCTGCCATTGTTGCCTGGTCAGGCCACCCGGGAAAAACCCCCGCCCCCACACCAGCGCCACCAACAGCACCAGCAGCAGCAGCCCCTGCACTGCTTGCTGATGCAGCTGCAGCAGCGGCGGCGGCGGCGGCAGCAGCAGAGAACGCGGCTGCATCGGGGAAACCCGAAGCGGAGGCGGATCCTGGCCAGTGTGCTTGTGGCGAAGCGTAGGGCCACTGACCGAGGTGACTATACGGGGAGGCGGAGAAGGGAGAGTGCAAGGACGCAGCAGCAAGGGAAGAGCCAAGGTGTGCTTGTTGGTGCAGCTGCTGCAGCTGCTGCAATTGCTGCTGCTGCTGCTGAAGCTGTTGCAACTGAAGCTGTTGCAGCTGCTGCCGTTGGTAGTGCTGCTGTTGCTGCTGCTGCTGTTGCTGTTGCTGCAGGTGCAGAAACTGCTGCATCTGGAATTGAGAAAACGGCTGCAGAGCCGAACCCTCGGAAGCAGCTTGAGCAGCCATGGCGGCGGCGGCTGCTGCAACCGCAGACGCCATTTCCTGGCCCGCAGCGGCAGAGGACATTCCTTGGCCCGCCGCCGCCGCAGCAGCTGCAGCCGCAGCCGCGGCCGCGTACTCGGAAGCAGCGCCCCCCATGCCCGCGCCCATGCCCATACCCACACCCATTCCGCCCATCCCCGGAAAGATCCCCGCAGGGACGTGCCCCGCGCCCGCCGCCAGCGCCATGGTCCGCGCAGCCGCCGCCGCTGCCACATTGGCGGGAGAGAGACCCGCGGAGAGGCCCGGGGAGTATGGGGGAACGCCTTGGCGCAAGAGATCCGCCTGAGGGAAAGCTCCGTGCGAGGAAAGCGCGGCTGGGGGGAGACCGTACGCTGCAGGTAACGCCGCGGAGGGCACGGAGAGAGCGTGGGACGCGCCGGAAAGAGCGGAGAGAAAGGGACTGGCGACACCTGGCATTAACGGATTGGTTGCCCCGACGGCAGGGGAATGGACTGCCGTCGCTGCCGCCGCCGCCGCCGCCGCTGCGGCGAGCAGCGTTGCTGGCGAGACGCCGGCGGCTGGATCGCCAGCGGCGAGAGCTTGAGCCTGGGCTTCCTGATGCGACGCCTGGTGCTGCTGGTTACCCTGTTGCTGTTGCGGGTGTGACAAAACCTTGCTTTTTCGCCGGCCCGAGCCCACGGGCACGTTTCTCAGATTGCCACCGGCCGTCCAATAGCGCTGGCAGGCTCGGCAGAAGTGGCGCGGCTGGTTCGGATTGTAGTTGTTGAAGTAACAGAACTTGGTAGCGAGACTCTTGCAACGGGGACAAGGCAGCGGGGTAGTTGGACGCTTCAACTCGCAACCTCCTTCCCCCTGCTTCTGCCCCTCCCCCTCCTGCTGCTGCAGCTCCCGCTCCTGCTCTTCCTGTTTCGCCCGCTCCACCGACGCGTCTTGGGACTCAGAGCTCTCCTCCTCCCGGTCGTTCCCCTCTGCGTCCTCGCGCTCCTCTCCTCTATTCTCTGCAGCAGTGGCGGCCGCGGCGGTTCTGCGAAAGTCATTCGAGGTCTGACGAATCGCGGAATCGAGAATAGCGTTATCTTCGGCACGGGGTCGAGGCCCTTGACGAAGAGACGACGGTGGAGATTGATTTGCGTCGCACGCCAACGGCTGGGATGAGACTGGTGAGTTTGGAGCGCTACCGTTGTCGATTAATCTACCGAAGAGATGGAATCCCGGATCCGCTGCGTCTAAAACGGGACCGGCTATTGTAGCCATGACGCTATTCAATATCCTAAACTTTACTCGACTAGGAGCATTCCACTTTTGCCTTTCTTGACCTACGAGTTAATCTTACTTGGTCCTGTAAATGTGAGAAGAAGCTTGTGTGTATGCGTGTGATTTGCAATTGGCAAGCTGAGTGACGAGGCGTAATCTCTGCAATGGTTAAACGTGGAGCTGAGATATAGGTACGAGTGAACGATTCGCTGAAACGCAAGCAGGCTAGCAACACTGGATGAAGCTGGAAATGGGTGTTTTGGCTACCCCGTGCATGCTCTGCCCGGCCCTGTCTGAACCACGCACCGAATACACCCCTCGCACGGGCAGGTGGGAGAGATTGCTGCTCTATGCGCTCGTCAGACAGGATTCTGACTGGCAGGGCAAAGGTGAGAGGAGCAGGCATGCAGTGCTGAGCGAGGTTCTCGCATGGTGAAGGGTTGAAGGGAGGAGAGAGGGGGAGAGAAGCGGTGGATCACTCTCTGACCAGCGGAGATAGCGCGTGCAGTCTGGACTGGAGGTTGGGGGAAATTGCGTATGCTCTTTCAGGCGCGCGCGGGGGCGATTCTCCGCCGTGCAATGGGACGGTTGTTGGGGATTCTGCCTTGGTCCCCCCGCGCTGCTTTGCTGGCTTGCGTGGCCATGGTTGTCCGGTGGCTGTGCTGCTCTTGGTGCCAACGTTCTCCTGCCCGAAAGAAATCTCGTTTGCCTGGCTAGCCTGCCCTGGCAGCTCAAGAGCCACGGGGGGAAAAGCTCGATGTGGAGGTGTCGAAAAGTGCGGCTGAGTTACGTCGCCAATCCGCGGGAAATCCGTGGATTGCTCGTGACGCGTGTACGAACCAGACTCCCTTGGTGTGATTGGTAGAGGTGAAAAGAATCTCCCGTGTCCTCTGGGCAGGAGGTCAACCTCGCATTCTCAGGGACAGATAAAGATTTTCGCAAGGGATCTGGAAACCACGCAAAGGTTGCGCTTTTCCCGAAAAGAGACAATGGTGCGGATGATTTTCGTGCAACAGAGACCGCGTTTCGGTGAAACGACGATCAACCAGGCACTTTTCATTGCCAGATCAGCAGATGAACTGCAACCACAAACAGGGAACGGAGGCCTCGCGTGGCAGCACCTAGAACATTCAGGAGTGTTGAATGTCCATCCTGGCTCATCAGAAGATATCAAGTAATCATCACAATAGAAGCTTCGGAAGAGGTGGCCTTTCGTCGCATTAATGAAGCTTCTACTCGGCCAGGTGAACTGGGAACCAACAATGATAAATCACACGATACACGAAGCACTATCTCCTATAAATTACAACAGGGAGCTTGATTATTAGACTAACAAAGCCAAAACTTTCTCCTACATCTTGAAAATTGGCGTAGACAATCAGAGCAGCAGGAGCTTGCTGGTGAAAAACAACAGTGTCGTGCTTGAAACTGCCTGCTGGCGTGGACAAAATGGATATCAAACTTGTGGACACAGGCGTCCTTTTCCAGCAAAAAGCATATCCAGCTTTGTGGCCATTTGGGGATTCCACGTGTGATAGAAGAATTCTGACATGGCGCACATGCTCAAAGTGAAAGCAACAGTTGTGGACCAATAACGCGAGGCCACATCTGTCCAGCAGAAGAATCATCCAAAAGTAAGCTAAAGCTGGCGAGAAACATGGTAAACATGGACATCACTACAGTCACGTACTGTAAATACCATGGGAAAATATGCCGTTCGTAACCATCATGGGACTCGAAAACATTTTTGGTAAAAAAATAAAGGGTACGGTCACTGCAAAGGGTGTTTTCACGCGACTGATAAAGCGTTTCACGGAATTAGTCACAATCAGCTGGTAAAAAAAAACGCGAATGGTCACAGATGAAACTCCCGCCAAAACAAAATGAAACCCAGAAAGAACCTGGATGCATTTTCGGATGATCAACCCTAAACACGTAACTCACCAGGTGTTTAGGGTTGATCCGTTCCCAAACCGCATCCGATCCCGATTGGGTTTTAGTTTTTTTACAAGTTCGCAGATTGGTTGGGCGCGAGCGGGAATTTTGTTGAGTTTCAAGTTTTTTTGGCGGGAGTTACATGTGTGACCATTCCCGTGATTTTTTACCTGTTGTTAGTGACTGAATCCGTGGCCCCGCTTACCAAACCCGTCAGAAAACCCGATACAGTGACCGTACGCGTTTTTTTTTTACCATTCACGTTATCGAGTTCCAAGTTGGTTACTTGTGGCATATTTTACCAAATACCATTGGTTTGGTAGGCACATACTGGTAAGTTAAATATGTAAGTTAACATACCAGTATTATATATGTGTGCTGGAGGGGCAACTAACTGCTGGTCAGAAAAATCTACCATCATGTCTCTCTGTCGGACTAGATACCAGATTGGAGGATGAAATATGAATTGATTTATTGGTTACCGTATTACCTCGGATAGAAGCGCAAGTGCGCTTATAATAAAACAATGTTTTTTAGGGAGGTGCGCTTCTAATCGAGTCATGTTTATAAGCGCATGCGCTTGTAATAGGAAAAAAAAATCACTTTTAAACATACCAAATTGAAGCCCGCAATCAGGCGAATTCAACCGACCATGCAACACGAGGGATCGTACATGGTTTCCGGACAAAAACAGCAGCGGTTCGGTTTCCCACCGCACATTTTGTCTAGAACCATCGATCGTGACAGCAGTGACGAAGATGTTGCAGTGCGGCCCAGCCACAGTCGCATGCATTGCATGGCATGTGCATTTATTCCGAACCCTCTCGAATGGTGGGGAATATTCCATGCCAGCGCAGCGTTTATGCTGCCACGCAGGGTCCTCTACGGGGGTAGGCGGGGGTTTCCCGCCTGTCATTGACGAAGACCCCGAGGCGCCAACCTTACGGGGTCCCCTTCGTTGCCCATTTGTGCACCCTCGTTCTCATTTTTTTCATTCAGATTCCAGCGTAGGCCGCCTGGCTGGTGAAGCCATGGCGGAATTCAGCGGGACGCACTTCCTCTTCAAGAAAAAACCAGCTCGCCCATGGCGACTTACCGACGACGGGTGGTATACCCGTGAGCCAGCAGCGCCTCCAGTGCCACTTGAATCCCCTGCCCCCCCTGATCCTCCTGCTCCTTCTGCACCTCCTGCTCCTCCTGCTCCTCCCGCACCTCCCGCTCCTCCAAATCCGCCTGATATCGGTGCCAGTGCTCACCAACGGCCCGTGCTCCAGCTGTATTTACCAGCCACTTTCCACGAGTGGCTGTCTGAACCGGACACACCCAAGGTCCCTGATGTGTTCATCTAGGCTCCGCCGCCTGCACCACGGTGGGGATAGCCCGAAGCCTGCACGTGGGACGAGTCGGCTGTGGGCGCCGACGATGACGTGGCCGCCGATAAACAAAACAGAGGCGATGGCGACGGTGTCGGCGACGGTGAAGCGGGCGACAAAGAGGACGTGTTCCCAGATCGTGGTGCAAGTGCCGAGGACGACGACGGTGTGGAGTCATGGTGGCGCGACGCACCACGCGAGAAGATGCCGATACCGACGTATCCGCCGATTAACAAAAAATGACCCCACCCCTCGTCCCATAACCAATATGCGCGCCCCCCCTCTCCCAGGCACAAGCCGTCTCAACATAAACGGCAGTCCTACACCTCCCAGGAGAAACTCAGGTGGCTCGTGCGGCTGGAGCTGGCGGCATCGATAAGCGAGGTCGCGCGGGAGTCCGGCATACACCGCAAATGCCTGACGGAATGGAAAACCCAAGCAGAGGAGCTCAAGGCTTCACATGCCGCACGGTGTCGACTTCATGGGCGCGGGAGGTCTTCTCGGTACAGACCCATGGAGTTAAAGGTGTATGCTCAACTCCTCGACTGGCGACGCCGCGGTGTTGCAGTTTCAGTCGGCCGGCTCCAAGAATGGTCACGCGAAGTGATGAAGGTGCTGTTCCCGGATGTAAAGTGGAAAGGGAGTCAGCGGTGGTCGGAGCGGTTCCGCAAGCGGTGGAACCTCAGCGTGCGCATGAAAACTAAGGTGGCGCAGAAAACGCAGGAGCGTAAGTGCCTTGTTTCCTGCTTACCTCGAGCGAATTCGCATGGTTAAGAGTTGTTGCTCCTGCACTTCCTATCTTTATCTTGTAGCGGTACTCATCCTTCTTCCTATCAGTCTTTCCCTCCCCGTGCGCAGACGTGGCAAAGAATTTTGGCAGTTCGTCCGCGACGCACGCAACGAGTACGCGATCGACAATCGATACATAATCAACGCCGACCAAATGCCTCTTTGGTTGGAGATGCCGGCCACTACCACCGTGGAGCAGACGGGCGTGAAGTCGGTGCCCATCCGCAGCGCTGGTTACCAGAAAGAAAGAGTCACCGTGATGCTGGCGTGCACGGCGACGGGCGAGAAGTTGAAGCCATGGGTGTTTTTCAAGCGCAAGACACAGCCTAAGGGTGACTTCCCGAACGGTAAGCACATGATCTTGTGCGTGTTTTGGACGTTAAAAAAAAAGGGACTAACCACCGCTTGCTTGTGTGCAGATGTCGTGGTCGGCTGCTAAGCGAACGGGTGGATGGAGGCCACGGGCGTCATCCAGTGGCTCGATGAGGGCGTGGTGCCGTTACTGAAACCGAAATTCGGCGTGCAGAGTCGGAGCGCCATGCTAGTACTCGACTCCTACCGTGGTCACCTTACCAAGGAAGTCAAGGCGAGATTCGCGGCGCTCAACATTGTGCCGGCGGTCATCCCGGCGGGATGCACGGCAGACGTGCAGCCGCTCGATGTGTCGGTGAACAAGAGCTTCAAAGCAAGTGTTCGCCAGCAGTACCAGTCCTGGTTTGAGGCGGACGGCATGAACATTCTGACACCTGCAGGTGAGCGAGGACATGTCCTCCCGTCTCCCCTTCGTGTGCTTGTCTGCCTGCTTGTGGACTGATGTGTTCCTCACTCCCTTTCATGTGGTGCAGGGAACATCAAGAAACCACCCCCGGCGGTGGTGCTCAAGTGGATTTTACGGGCGTGGAA